TATTGAATTCCATACCACTGCATCAGTGCTCCATTAATATAGGGCTACTCACGGCTGTTTTTGAAAGAATTGATGTTTGGTTTATAAGGACAAAATTGTTGTTATGACCTCGTGCATTATGACTATGAAGTACGTTTAGCTCGATTAAACGGCCTCGAAGGATAAGATGGGGCTAACTTGTCGAGTATTTTATGCATCAAGCGATATTTTTCTTTCATTCGCTTATCTTCCAATATCGGCCAATTTTTTAGGTCTTTTAAAATCTGGGAAGAGCGTCTTTCACGACTATAGATATTCCTAGTATAAATTATTCAATTAATTATTTCAGCGTAAGTTAATAGCTGCTCCGGCCTAATTCTTAGAATACAACTACAACTACAAGTACGCGGAAGTAGACACTAGATTCCGCGTTGCAGACTGACTGGTGTTTTGCAAGAACGTCGCTCTACTTCACAATATGCCTTTTGGTTGGCTGGCAAAAACTCTTATTAGCAGTGGTATAAAAGCTGGTGTTGCTGGTGCTAGTTATGCGTTAAAAAACGACTCCTCTCAGTCTCGCTTGCGGCGGTACAATCCAAGTCCTCCGCCAACCAGCAGCTACCATATTTACACGTACAAGGCAGACACTACAAATCAAGACGAAAAAGAATTGAAGAGTTGCCTCAGTTTCTTTGAAGAGGGAATGGAAATGCTTTAACGAGTTTAGATCGAATTTTGTGCGGAGATAAGCGCACCGAAGCAAATACAGAAGCATTCAGTTGCACGAGTTTATAGCCGACAGAATTGATAGCTTAGCCGCCCTTGACCGTGATGTGTTTACAGCAGAGGTTGATAAATTGAAATCGATTTCAAAGGAAAGCTTTGCTTGGGCTAAATCGTCTTTCAAAGCAGCGCGAGATGACGGGACAAGGGCCTTCAATAATGAAGCACTTAGTGTGAGGAACAGATTGCTTGCGGCCAAGGTGAGAGGTTGAAGATAAGATAGTTCGTCTAATGACCCCCCTCCCTCTCAATTAAAATACCTTAAGAAAGGCACTCGTCAAAACGTTGGGGAAAACGGACCCCTGCACCACTGGGCATAAGCCGTAACTTTCCAACGAATGTGGAATTTCGGTAATAATAGACTAATCTGAGCATGACGATTTCAATTCTGCAGGGGTCCGTTTTCCCCAACGTTTTGACGAGTGCCTTTCTTAAGGTATTTTAATTGAGAGGGAGGGGGGTCATTAGACGAACTATCTTATCTTCAACCTCTCACCTTGGCCGCAAGCAATCTGTTCCTCACACTAAGTGCTTCATTATTGAAGGCCCTTGTCCCGTCATCTCGCGCTGCTTTGAAAGACGATTTAGCCCAAGCAAAGCTTTCCTTTGAAATCGATTTCAATTTATCAACCTCTGCTGTAAACACATCACGGTCAAGGGCGGCTAAGCTATCAATTCTGTCGGCTATAAACTCGTGCAACTGAATGCTTCTGTATTTGCTTCGGTGCGCTTATCTCCGCACAAAATTCGATCTAAACTCGTTAAAGCATTTCCATTCCCTCTTCAAAGAAACTGAGGCAACTCTTCAATTCTTTTTCGTCTTGATTTGTAGTGTCTGCCTTGTACGTGTAAATATGGTAGCTGCTGGTTGGCGGAGGACTTGGATTGTACCGCCGCAAGCGAGACTGAGAGGAGTCGTTTTTTAACGCATAACTAGCACCAGCAACACCAGCTTTTATACCACTGCTAATAAGAGTTTTTGCCAGCCAACCAAAAGGCATATTGTGAAGTAGAGCGACGTTCTTGCAAAACACCAGTCAGTCTGCAACGCGGAATCTAGTGTCTACTTCCGCGTACTTGTAGTTGTAGTTGTATTCTAAGAATTAGGCCGGAGCAGCTATTAACTTACGCTGAAATAATTAATTGAATAATTTATACTAGGAATATCTATAGTCGTGAAAGACGCTCTTCCCAGATTTTAAAAGACCTAAAAAATTGGCCGATATTGGAAGATAAGCGAATGAAAGAAAAATATCGCTTGATGCATAAAATACTCGACAAGTTAGCCCCATCTTATCCTTCGAGGCCGTTTAATCGAGCTAAACGTACTTCATAGTCATAATGCACGAGGTCATAACAACAATTTTGTCCTTATAAACCAAACATCAATTCTTTCAAAAACAGCCGTGAGTAGCCCTATATTAATGGAGCACTGATGCAGTGGTATGGAATTCAATACCAATTGAAAAAAGGAAATCCTATTCACTAAACATTTTCAAAAATAAATTGTAAATAATAATTTATGTAAATTTTGTTGTAAATAATTTAAATAACACAGCACCTGGGAAGAGCATCTTCTCATGACAGGCTTCCGTCCCTATTAAACCAAGTTCAACAACAAGAACAACCAGAGTTGTAGGCTCTAGTCATGTATCCCCGAGCATCAACCCGGAGCGAGGGTATGAATTCTGCACGGCTATTTACACTGGGATTTGATAAAAGGCCTGGAAAATTGGATTTAGAGAAAATTCGGATTGGGAAATGGGATTTAGAACCTCTTAGAGCGCTGGTGAATCGCAGGACTCTACTCTGTATGTCTGATTTCTGCCAGAGGGCCTATTAATTGTTGCATTTTTTTGTAACTGTTCCTGATTAGGTTTAATAAACAAGACCCTTCGTATTTTTTTGTAGAAAAACTAAACCAAAAGATGAATGTGGACCCGAACTCTCAACAAGACGGTGCGGACAGGCTGAAAGCGAACTGCACATGGTATGAGGAGATCGAGTGTGAACGTCAGAAAATCAACATCGCAGAATCTTTTTGATGCCAAGAGAAATAAGGCACGAGGAAGAAGTCAAAGTCTGGCTTTTGGAACTGAGGGACCACACTTCTTCCCAAAAACTTTAAAAAATAGAATCAATGGTTATAAAGACAATTCAATTTCTACTATCGAACTTTCCCTTGCGCAGTGGCGTCGCCAGGATTGGGCGGAGGTTTTTTTGGTTTGTTCTTTTTTTTTGGGGGGGGGGGGCTAGAATAATAATTTGTGACGTCACAATATTAGGGGTCTCTGAAACGGCATTGCCTGCATTTTGGAGGCACTTACAGAAAAATGTATAGGTCTTGATAAATCATTTTAACAGTATAAACCCAATGCGTTCAATGAACAAATCTACCACTACACTCTGAAAAACATTGAAGGGGAGGGGGGACTTGGCGGTGCCATTGTCCTTGCGGGTACATTCTATACCTGTCAAAAAAACACGAAAACGCGGTTTTGTTCTTTGATCATTTGAGATGGGAATTATTGGAATTTCCTGTGTGCGTGCGCCCGTTTGGAATTTCATGTGATGTGGGCGTCGGATTTGAATTTCATGAATTCATGCGAATAAAGAACGTTAGTTCGGTGCGCGCCAATTTTGATTTTTGAATCATGGATTTCGTTGAAACTGAGCGCGAGGTTGAGGACATAGTGTCTGACGAGAATCCTGAAGAGAACGAACTCCTAAACCTTACTGATGATAGCGAACAGCAGCCTGACCATGAAGGCTTAAATCATCAGTTCGTTAACAAAGACACAGAGGCCGAGGATACGGAGGATTACACTTTGGCGCCCAGAGGAAAAAAGCGACGAATTCTTGATGATGAGGAAGACGAACATCAAAAGCAAGGCACACAAAGACGACGAATTCTTGATGAGCAGAATAAACAACAAGAGCAAGGCACACAAATGTGAGTTACTCTTTTAGCCATGGGAAATTGATAAAGTGAGCACTTCGGTCGCCATAGTCGTAACACAACTCCTTCCCAGCCCGCATTATTATACACACCGTGCTGTTTTGAAAACAATTTGGGGGTTTTGCAGTGTCCACTTCGGCTACGATTTAGTAATCGTCGTGATGTTTCGTAGTGTTTTGGTATTTTGCTTCCCGCATTTTAGCCTCCTTTGACATGTTTATTTTTTTTTTGTGTGTTGGTGTTGTGTACTCAGGTGAATATGATGTTTGTGATGTTACTCTGAGTGTGTATCCGGCCACCGTGGCCGGGCATATTTTTCAACCTCGCCCGGTGTGGATATACACTCAGAGTAACATCACAAACATCATGTTTATTTTATGTTGTAATATAATATTATTACTACACAGTTGTGTTAAATTGTTAATTATTAAAGTCGGCATAAATAACGATTAATGAATATAATGATTCAAGCACGTTAATTAATACGTTAGGTGAGAGAACAGCCCGAAAATGAGTATAACACACACCAAATCATTGTGGAAGAATGGGTTCAGGGACCAGGGTGAAGTGAACCAGTTATATACATTATACTCTTAAACTCTGTTCAACCCAAAGACTATGTTTTAGATTTCATAATGTTTTCATCCCGTAGGGGTATATATAAGACCTGCTAGGAGAAACTGAATGCCCTAGGGGTGATAATCCCCGATATGACCCTGCCATGCATACTGGTAGCAACCCCTTCTAACATAGACCTGAACCAAGGGGTAATAATCCCCTTGGACAGTACCTACAATTCAACTGATTATATTTAGTACATAAATAGTTACCTGAGTCTATGGGCCTAAAGTTGACCATTGGGAGCACTTCAACCCCACAAGTATGACAATGTGTATTCTCCATAGACGAACTCCCACCACAGCTGTATTTGTATAAAAGACAGCTGCTGCCAGATGATAGTTAGACAGATATTTCAGCATTACCATCACTAATACTATTATAGCTGGATAATCAGGGAGGCCAGAAAAAACCCTGCAATATACAGGAAACCTGGGTGGGGCCAAGACAACCAGCAGCTTTCCCACAAAGCTTCTATCTTACAAATTCTTAACTGGAGGGTTGGTAACATGACAAACAAAGCTCACCACTTAGGGATGAGCTGATTAATTGGGAAATAAATGGCAAATTTTTAAATAATCGAAGTAATCGGCCATTTTTTAAATATTCGGCAATTGGCCGATTATTGCCTGATAATGGGCAAATAATCAGCCACAAGACTTTTTCTACAGCTGCCAAGCACATGCTAAAATACTGAATACAAATGAATAGATTTTCGCATTTTGTTGCAAAACCCGCATCTTTTGTTCAAAACCCGCATCAAGATTTATGGTTTTGTTTCGAAGTGATAGTTGCATCTGATGACAACCTTCCAAATCTTGAAGAAGAGGTCAACACATTTCTCGTTTTTCCCTTGCAACTGTTACAAGCGTGTCCATATAAACTCCAACAAAAAAATGTACCCAAATATTTTTAACATCACGCTGAAGTATCTTAGCCCACCAAGTTCAAGCATATATTCATATATTCGGAGCGCATGTTCACAGTGAAGCTGGCAACATTTCCACTGAAAAACGCAGCAGACTAGCTCCGCATAAAGCTGACAATATCCTGTTTTACCCAAAAATTTGACTATTGGCATGCAAGATTGAAGCTGATTTTAATTGTACATAGTGTGTATTGTAAACAATAAAACAGCATAAACAGAAAAATACATGGATGCTTGGAAATACCAGTTATGTTTATTACCCATGTATTATTCTTTATATAAATAATTGGCCTCAGTAATCGGCAATTTTCCTTATCGGCTCATCCCTACTCACCATCAAAGCACTTTTTTAAAAAAATTTTATTATTTTATTTCATTTTTAATGTACGGTAAATGTATTCATTAATAATGGTTTGTTAACATTTATTTGTTAACCACACTTATTTTATTTCAATTATGATTGGTAGAACTTTCTTGAATTATGTGACATTACTCTCAGAAAAATAACTTGTTCATTACTTCAATTCAAAATAGCTGGACCAAAATGCAATTCAGGTGCTTATAACTAAATATAACCACAGTCCTGCAATCGAACATCCAATCATGCATATTGGCAGAAATTGTAAGAATATGTATTTGGTAGACAAAGAGATCATGCAGTTAAATAATAGTACATCAAAGGATTTTCATGAGCATAGGCATACATGGTATCGTTATATCGAGTACCAATCTTTCATGATATCCAACTTGTTGATTTATCGCAAATGTAGATAAACATACGGTATGTGCAGAGTTTTAAATCTTAAATTTCGTTCACAAAGGAGTTTGCTTTCTTATGTTTTGGACAGCAAAGTATTGACAATGTATGCAGGTCAAATTAATATTAGGTTAAATATTAAAAAGCATGCTCTTCTAAAGTAGCTGGAAAAGAAGGTTTATAATTCTACTTTTGAACGATTGAATACAGTTTATTGATGTAAGGCCTGATTGAAACCCAATCCAATGGTTGACCTCAAGGTGGTAATCGACAAATAATGGGTCGTTCCAGAAAAGATCCATACTCCTCCCACGGAGGAAATTTCTGCTGTCGGGAGGAGGAGGGGAGAAAAAATTGTTTCTGATAATAGTAAATGTATTAGGACATCCGAAAGGGGTAGGGGGGTTAACTTCCTATTTCCTCTGTGGGGTTGGTACGGATGTTTTCTGGAATGACCTAATACACTAGAACGTTGTTATAAAATAGACAAATTTAGGGAGCATTCATTTTTTAGCTGGGGGGGTGGGCCGGAGGAACTGAAGTCTAATTCCATGCGAAAACTTGGAACCCTCAAGACAAAAGTTGATAAAAAATTATGACCCCCTATTTTTTTTACTGAAAATTTTTTGACCCCTCATCCTAACTATTAATCCACATGGTGTCGTTTCCATAGCGTTTCAGGGCCGTCGGAAGCTCTTTTTGATTGGGGGGCTGAAAGCGAGGGCCGAAGGCCCGAGGAAATTTTTAAATCTAGAGTCTCTGAAATGCCATTTCCTGGCCTTTGGGGGAAGATTTGACAGAATTCTGATGGTCAGAAAACAGCGTTTTAGTATGTCAAAATTGACAATTTGGTAGTACTAAATGGGCGAAGGCATATTAATTTTACTATATGTTGGATAACTAGGATAAGTTGCAGGAAACTGTGGGTACTATCTTCATTCTTTGCAGTTTGTCATGGATAATGTAGCCGCTTAAAATTAATAAAGCTTAAAATTGATCAAGATCTGCATGATTTTGAAGTCATGCAGACCTTGAAATCATGCATGATTTTGAAATCATGCTACGGTCCTGCGTTTTCTTTCATTGATGTTTTCACACAAAAACGGATAAAAACGAGGTCAATTGACAAACGTCATGGAAATGTTTTCCTATGGACTGTGTGAAAAGAGCGTCAAATGAATTTTGCTTCATTGTTATAGATGACGACATAGTTGATAGATTCTAGACCTTTTTACCATTCTTGATCCAAATATTTCCAAATTCAATAAAATCATATTGGTGATTTTTTCACTGATTATTTTTATGACCCCCTCCATTTATAACAAAACTATAAAAAGACCCACCCCTTTGAAGCATGTCAAAATTGGCTGACCCACCCCCAAATTCCTCCGGCCCACCCCCCCAGCTAAAAAATGAATGCTCCCTTAGTACTATATTGCTATAAACTTATTTGAGGGAAATCTTATTTGGCAGAACTACAGCGCATTTTTAGCAGTGACACGAACTCAGACGTCTGACCTCAGCAACATTATAATGTAAACAAAAGGCCATAAAGAGTATCAAATTTCAAACGCTCTCAATTGTTCAAATCGCGTTTGCAGACGAGTTTTATTACGGTTTTTAGTCCTTCAAAGTGTCCTTTTTCCAACTATACTAGTCACTGTATGTAATTAGGTCCCACTTTTAAGAAATTCAGCGTAGAAAATAGTAGGATTTGAAAGCCGTATTTTGACATGGCGCACTTTGTCGCTAAATATTGTCACAAATACTCTGTAATTGAAAACCTAAGTTAGTTTAGATGAAATTACGATAGTTTTCCGGTGCTGGGTGTGAATATCAGAAATTTTGAACAAAATCTTTTGAAATTATGTTTATTTAAATTCAGCCCATTTTTTCGTTTAATTAGCCGGCGAATTTGTCCTGCGACGGTGCGAGACCAAAAAATCGCTAAAACTTTGAAACTAAATATATTTTCAAAATTCCAAACAGCATTTGTTTGTTGTTAAAGTAAATGTAGTTCACGGTAAAAGTTTCGAAGGAACTTATTTTTCGAGCCCCAAGTCAGTGGGCGGTTTTTAGAGACACACGCTCTTAATACTGTAGGTAACCATCCCTTGGAATTTCCATGTTGTTTTTTAACCTACCCTGTGGAATTTCCACAGATTTTTTTTAAAATTTAGACCCTCCCATGGAAATTCCTTTTTTCATTGAATTTTAGGGAGGGGGTATTGGAATTTCCAGTGTCCTCTATTGGGGGGAGGGGGGAGTAAAAATGCAATAAGCCATTCTATGCTTGATGCTGAGCAATTTTTTAAAAAACTTTTAGGCTACTCCAAATTAGACTTTAGTTTTCCATTAGAATTTTTTTCAAATTTCATGTGGGCGGGTAGTTTATTCCAAAACTGTGGATTGTTGTTATCCTTAGTTATAAAGGTCAAATAAGGCCTAAAAAAATACCTGTGGTTCCGGTTTTATATTGTGAAAATATTAGGGCAGTAGAGTCCCGACATCAATATTAACTAGAGATGCGTATTTCCTATGGACGAATTAAGGCAATTTGGTTCAATAATTAGTGTCACAACAGACGCCGCAACCACCCGGAGAAAATAGGGTCGCACGGTAAATTGCGTTGAAAAAATAATAGGGTCGGCAGGGAAAAAATATGGTCGGTCGGGAACCGGAACCACAGGTATTTTTTAGGCCTAATGAACACATTAGCAATAATAGACAAATCATGCGGCTAGTCCTGGGAGACACAGGTGCTGGGCAGGAAATTAAAGTCTAATTTGGAGTGGCCTTATTGCTGCCGAGCCTCAGCGAGGCAGCAGCTATCCTAGACGTGCTAAGGTTTCTCCACAGTACACTCGCCCCAGTCTTTTGTTCTGATCTATGCATTGTCGAGAAGACTACTTATTAAATCAACTGAGTATACACTATCATGTTTCCTTCTTCAGGTGTCACTGTTCCCCAGGATCTCTTTTCTTATTCTTACATTCTCAATTTACATCTTGTCAAGCGCAATATTATTTAATTAAGTCTGAAGTGTGAAGTCCCAAGTTCCAGCAGATTTCAGATGTATATACGAATGTGATATAAGTTGAATATTCATTCGTTGTCAACGTCAGCAAGGCAACTGGGCGGAGGTCAAAAACTAAAAACAGTTGTGATTAATATTCAACAAAACCAAAAATCGGCCTGACAAATTGCAGCGTGTCAACGTGCCTTAAGATCGATTTCGCATCAAATTTCATACATTTGGTCATGTATCATTGAATTGAATTTTTGTTGTGACTTTAAATATTGCTGTACTGTGTGTGTAAAGTGCGCCAAATATTGTACTGGGATAGGTTGAGCGTATTAAACACGCTCTTTTGAGTCTTCTCCGCTAAAGCCATAGGCTGGATAAAGCCATAGGCTGGAGTTCTAATATTATGAAAATATTCGAGTGATTTGTGGCCTTTGAGTAGCTATAACCTCTATTAACTGACGTGCTATAACTTACAAAGAGCCTTGGTTCAAAATGTCGAAGTCGGCATTATTTCAGGTACCATAGTTAGAAGAACCTTATTGTACAAGTCAAGAATCTTGTCCATCTTCTTCCAACACTGACTAACTACCTAGTTTGGTTAATATATTGTGATATTATTTAAATCTTAATATTTTTTTTCAGATTAAGGATATACAAAGTACTGAATAATGACTCTTTTGATGAATTCCAGTAATATTCTTGATATAAGGTCAATAATGTTGTCACATAATGTGACAATTTGATGCTGGGAGCTTCATTTTCATGAATCATTTGTTTCCAGCATTTCATCCTGTACCAATGTGCTTTTCAGATACCATCAATATTGGATGAAGTCAATGAAAGAAAGAAATGATGAGCTGTTTGAAACCATTTCCACTCTGTCCTCAGGTAAAAAGAATATAGTACATACTACGGAAATTTTCTAGGGTACATGTCCGAATATTTTTGTTGACTGGGGGAGGTCACCAAGTTTTCCGGGAAAATTTTTTGAATTGGAGAAGAAAGTAACTTTTCCAAATTTTTTGGGGAGATAAAGAAACCCCTTGGCAACTATATGCACCCCTGTTATTTGATGAAAAGGGATTGTTTGGCCGAATGTGTAGACATTAATACCCCAGGGCCCAAAGGATTCATGAGCATGAAACATGGTGAAATGTACTATATAGACAACTTTTTTGCATACGATTATTTTTGTACTATAAAGACAACTTCTTCTCTGTGAGTTTATTATGCATAGGTTGATGATGTCAATAGTCTATTTAAGGGAAAATAAGCCACTCCTATGCCTTGTCAATACACATAGAAAATTCATGTGTTTGAAGTTGGTCGATATATTGCATTGGTTGTACCTTGTCAGATCATTTGAAGGTAAGATATGTGATAAATATCTGAACGATGACACTTTCCTGTGGGGATGTGAAATTGAAAAACTGATATCCTTTAGTCGCTGTACAGGTAGTTGCATGACCTTTTAATAAATAAATAAATATGCAATTTTAGAAAAACAACAGACAAGGTATTCTGGACAGAATTGACTTTGGCAATTCCGGTGTTCCATTGTTATGGACATAAATCATCCTGTCACGTTCGTACAGCTGTCACAATGGACATCCAGGCTGAGAGCATTAAATATATTGATACTGCCTATAGATCAATCATTTTGATATTTTTACTGGCACTGCAAGCTGCTCTCAATATCAAGTCACATGAATTGACCTGCAGTCGTCGAATTGATATTTTGACCGATGCGTTGTTACATTACGCACAAAAGCGTTTAAAGCAATTTGGTTTGTTCTGTTACTGTATATTAATTTATGCAATTACTCAGCCAGCGAATCTTTTGGGGGGTTAGAGCATCGTTTCAATTTCCTTATTCTTAATTGTCACAATAGTTTACTGGATGAGAAACCGTAAGACTGTCTAATATTAGTTTTACATGTATATGAATTAATATTTCCTTCAGGACCTTCTTCCATCTCGAATTTACAAAAAGCTAAGAACCTTATGGAAAATGCAATGGGGCAACTGCAAGAGGTTTCTTCAAAGTTAACAAGTCGGTACATCTTACACATTTTCTATTATTTGTCATTTTCGTGGTTCCCTGCAAAACAGGTTTGTGGTAAAGAATCTGGGCATATACTGTATTAGGCTTGATTCAGTATTAAGTGGCTTCGAAAATTGCTAAATTTCGGGCGATTTGATTTGGACAGGCAAATGTTGCCAAGCGCAAATGTTACCAAGCAGCAACCTCGTTCCTAGGCTCTTCCCTCTTGTGGAGGAAAGACCCTGGCTGGGGCTGGTCACGTGGCACACAGAAATTTGATCGCCCAAGGGGGGAGTAGGCAAAGTATCAAATTACATTCTTCCACTTCCGCACTTTACACTTCGATTGCAAGGAGTGAGAGTGTTCTGTACAATCAACTTTGAGAATCATATAAAATTCAAATGCTTGCTAAATTTGGTTTCTGTTTGCTTTTAAATTATAAAAAAACATGCTAAACTATTTTTTTATAGCAACAGACAAGTCAGGAAGTCGAGCAATAAAAGCGTATGATCGTATATGCTTTGAAATTGTTCTCATGTTCTCTCGAGGCGCACTTTCATTTCACACGTTTCTGTTTTGCCTCTGGTTCACTTCACATATTTATAATATTCTTATAATATACCATTTGCGTTATTTGGAAACGGTATAAGCTTTGAATTGATTTACTTGTTAATTTCATTATTTCAATACAATACTGTGGTAGGTCGTAGCTCCTTTTGAGGTCTTCTCGCGCAAACGTTACACACTTATAGATACAAGCCAAATGGCCGAATCTCCGGACATTCTATTGATTAAAAAATTGTTTAATATAGACATCGCATATTTTTTTATAGGTAAAATTAGTGTATAATTCATCGTTTGTATTAAACACTAGGTACAGTAGTAAGGAGTGTACAGTATAAGGTACAAAAATGTATGTATTTTGGATTGGTGACAAGACAATTGTTTTATATTTCACTTTAGTTATTAGTATTTCAATTATTTTATTTATTTCACTTTTATTTTATATTTCATTTTTGTTCCAGCAGAGACATTGTGCTTTTATTGTGATATTCCACTTGGACAACCAGTTTGTGTAACCCAGAATGGAATAGTGGAAGGTAATAATACAGTAAAATTTGTGATGTCGTTGTTACATGCAAAATGCTCCTGAACAGTCTGGTTGGTCATCATATAAAACAAAACATTCTGAATCATCTGAATGGTAGCGTATTAATTGTGCACTGAAGATTTGATTTGATAGTTCAAATCTTGAACAGACAGGATGCTACTATTTCGAGTATGTTTTCTTTTGTAAATCAGTGGATGCATGCATCATATCCATGCCTGACAAAATGCTAATGTAAATCATACTTATCCTGACTATTCTTGTTAGGAATATCAGTATCTGTAAGATTCTGTGAAAACTGTAAGCTGCCTTATCGATATCAAGAGTTTTGCAATGGGATTCACAATTTCAACGGCAACTGGCTTTTGAGTATTGGATTGTGTGACATGTTTAGAAGTCATCTTCAGGTACAGTACATGTTTTGCTATATTTGTCGCCTTACTTTCGGAATATTTGTCCACGTACATTTGTCTTATGACTACTCTTAATATAAGACCGTTCTTTACTCGTAGTCCAAAACAACATTTGAAGCAATTTCTTTCTATTTTTCCATGGTGAACAACAATATAAGTCATATAAGTTTAGTTTTGTGGAAACGCCACGTAACTGAATGTATTATTATTGCAAAACTTTCGATCCGTAAGATTGGATCTTCATCAGTGCTAATAATCAGAGCTTACGGATCGAAAGCTTTGCAATAATAAATTTACGTAGTGTTTACACAAAACTAAACTTATATTGAAGCGAGTGTTTTTAATAGTTTAATGAGAATAATGAATATTTGTACTAGGACGGACAATTTTGCACCACGATCGATCTAAGACATGTAAAATATCCATTCTAAAACCTCGCCTGGTACACAATATCTTGTGCTAAATTCTTTAACTTTTGATATTTAAAAAAAAAAAAACTTTCAGGTCCACAATGCTGTAAGTCGAAGCAGTTGAGACCTGGCTGCAGTTGTGCCCATTTCAGTTACCTCGTGCTACAATGCTGAATTCGTATCTTCATTTTGAGGCTCTTTCTGACCATGAGTATGATTTCTCCAACCTCGTTCCCAGGCTCTTTGCTCTTGTGAAGCAAAGACCCTGGTCGGGGCTGGTCACGTGGCCCATAGAAAATTGATAACCTAAGAGGGGGATGGCAAAGTATCAAATTACATGTTTCCACTTCCGCACCTCACACTTCGATTGCAAGGAGTGACCGTTCTATACAATCATCTTTGAGAATCATATATACTTCAAAATACTTGCTAAATTGGTTTCTGTTTGTTTTTAAATTATACAAACATGCTAAACTGTAGATTCTTATAGCAACAAACAAGTCAGAAAATCAAGCAACGAAAACGTATGATCGTATATGCTTGGAAATATTTGCCCTTTTATTGTCTCCGGGGTTAGGGCGCAGTTTCATTTCACGCGTACGTTTCTGTATCTGGCTCTGGTTCAGATACGTATAATATTCTTATAATGTGCCATTGAATTGTTGTCATATGGAAACGGTATAAATTTTGTTAAATAGAGGTCTCAAAAGCGACTGTGTATGTCGTAGGCGTAGCGCCTTGTTGGTCCTACAGCAAACGTTACATATTTGGACACCAGCCAAATAGGCATTGAATGTCCATTCTATTGATTCTAAAACGGTTTATAGACATAGTGCTCTAGATTTTTTTAAAAAGGTTATCATCGTTTATATTCAACACAAGGTAGGAAGGAGTGTTAACGTACATGTACAAAATTGTTTGGGATCAACAGTAAAGAATTATACGACAATTCACAACTGTATGCATTTCCTTTTTTGTCTGCACGAGTACCTGTTTGTTGAAGCCAAAATCACTAAATCAGATTGCACAGAATCTCCGATATGAATTATATAGCCATTCACCCTCGCCCCTTGAATGCAAAGGAATGATAGCCGAAAAGGTTTAGCAAAGTATTTTTTATTATATCTGGTATAAAGTGTCCCTACGTTTTATCAGGGATATATACATAATTCGTAAACTGTATATATGCGCACGAAGTCCAGCTCATAGAATTACTTAATTAATAAGTTTTAATAAGCCTTTTAAAGTTTCCATCGATAGATAGGTTGTTTGCCTCTAGTATGGTTTGGTGAAACTGCTAAAATGTCATTTATACAGTATACGATATAGATTATTTAAAGTTGATTTAAAGATTGATGACTCACAGGGCATACTTCGAAACCCGGACTCGGACTCGAAGAAAATCCGGACTCGAGAAAAACCCGGACCCGAAGAAAATCCGGACTCGTGTTTAACAAAACCCGGACTTGACTTCTGAAAACCCGGACTCGAAATAAACAAAACCGGATTCAAAACAAGGACTCTGTGCACGAGATTGCAAAGGTTTTATCGGTAATAACTCGCGGGTAAATGGATTTGTGCTCTTGCGCGGGTGCCCCTTTCTCTTCTCGCTTTTGTATATAATAAAATAGTTTATTTCAAAAGCAATAAGCTTTGGTTTCGAAAGATATAGATATTTTTTTCTTCTAGTGACTCAGTATCATGCGTTATCTGAGGATACTAATCAGTTATCATACTATATGGTTGCTCACAAAACAATCACTATATAGCCTACCTAAACAAATCATTAAATCATTTAGCCTTATACATACTTGCTTACTTACTTAATTTAAAAATTTATTTAACCACGCTGACCATACACAACATATTTGTAAAATACATACTCTTGCGAGCAGCTAAATCTACCCTAGACATAAATTAATAACTGAAATCTGACTCAGAGTAGCAGACTCAACGTGATCGATGGCGGCAAGGATAAAATATATCCTCAACATATTCGACCTCACTATCGGCAAAATGACACGAAAAATAACTAGACTTCAACCAATCAAAAGTATAACTTCAACCAATCGAAAAGAACGCCGGAAAAGTACATCTCATGTTGAAGGCAATGAAGGTATCGCCGCAACCGCGCCTAAATACCGACTGTGAAGTAATTCGAGCGTTGTTGTGCGGATATGATGGACATAAATTTGATATTATAACATGCTCTCAAATAGTTGGACAAGACGCTACTGGAAACACGTTTATTTTCTCTATTTCGTTAATATAAAGTCCATAAACACGAATTGAACACCCGCAATTATTCTTTATCCGAAAGTAGTAGAAAACACATTACAATGAAAGCAACAGCTGCAAGCCTGCACCCGCGGCCGACAGTGAAATTCGCGTTGGATGGTTGGCGTAAATTTGATATTGAGACTCTCTCGTTAGGCAATGCGTTCATCAATTGCCCCATATGCCTTGCATACAACCGCTGCTCGATACTGACAATGAAGTTTGTCAATAAATCAAGTTAACGTTATTTTGAGAATCAACAATCAACATGCTACCCTTGTATTAGCTACTTGTAGATCGTATGCATCAATACATTTTAGTTTTTAATAACTTATAAATGCCTAAATGATTTGGTTCCAATATATCTAAGTGATTATTTTGTTAACAGCAGAAGATTAAAAATATCGAGATAAAGACATAAAGAGATCATCGTTTATCATGTTACTAATTATTAAACCTTTCCAAAAAACCTTTGCATTTTCGTACACAGAGTCCTTGATTTGAATCCGGTTTTGCCTTATTTCGAGTCCGGGTTTTCAAAAGTCAAGTCCGGGTTTTGTTAAACACGAGTCCGGATTTTCTTTGAGTCCGGGTCCGGATTTTTCTCGAGTCCGGATTTTCTTCGAGTCCGAGTCCGGGTCCGAGTCCGAGTCCGGTCCGGGTTTCGAAGTATGCCGACTCACAGCAGCATTATACAAGTCCAAAGAAGCTGTCGGGTTATTCTTCAAATATAAAGCACTGAATGGGCAATGGGAATGAAAGGTCTTTATAAGGTTTATAAATTAATGTACCTGCTGTGAATTACTGTAATACACAAAATATGAAATAATTTACTATGAAGTACAATACCAGTGTCTGGTGCAATCTGGTGCATATATCGTCCTAATATTCAAGTTATATGTACCGCACGCACGGAAACGCACAGTGGTCTTGGTGTTCGTCTGATGACAGATAGCTATACTTCGAGTCTTCGACATAATCATTCTTGATCGTTGAGTTTCAGCAATGTAAATGAAAGGAATTTTACAGTCCATAACGGGTTTTAATCCTGTGCTTTCACAGTCAAGATAGCACTATTGTTTACACACACAGTTAGCGATGTTTGGGAAATCTTCCATTATAAAATAAATCCTTTGGCTTTGTTGAATATCGGATAGGATACACTTCAACAATAAACATTAAACAACCATATCGTTAATTTAGTGTCGTTTGATCGTCAGTCGGTATAGAATTGGGAAGACTTATATGTTTCTACGGCGATGCGTGCTCAACTTCGCAAGCCAGGCGCGTGTGAGTCCTTGCCAGTGAAATATGATCCAGCTTGTCGCTTGAAATGTACCGCAACACTTATTATTGATGACATTCAGTATAGCAGGAAGTTGTGTCATAATGAATACGAATTTTAAAACTGTTCCTTTCACGATTTCTTGTTGCAAATTACATTTTTATCACCCGAAACTATAACACATAAAATTGCAATTTTCCAAACGTAGCAAACAGACTCCTCTACCACCCCTCCCTGAGATCAATTCAATTTACCACGCAGAATCTGCGGGGTCACGTGACCAGCCCCGACCAGGGTCTTTGCTTCACAAGAGCAAAGAGCCTGGGAACGAGGTTGTGATTTCTCTTGCCATCTCTGTGGATATTTCCCTCCATTGTTGTCATTAGATGTGGACAAAAAAGGAGTATTTGAGCTAGCTGGTATTGTTGGTTAATGAGTTGACAAATGTTTTGTCTACTTAGTGATGATTAACTATTTAGTATTTACTGTGTATTTTTAATGTATTTTCATTTTATTACAGTAAGTGATCTTGAGCTGCCTTACTTTGAGTTTGAATTGCATCCAGATGAGGTTGATGCAGAGATGTTCTGGGAACAAGTCAACCTTGCAATAATATACAGGGGCATATTAAGAGGTTACTGATTAATTTTGTTTTTCTACTTGTTGATAGAAAATAGTACATCCTACTAAATGGAGAATTAGAATTTTAAGGGCCGAATTACAATTTTAATAATCGGATCGGAACGTTTTGGATCGGATTCGGATTTGTAAAAATTACCAATTGTCGGATTATAAACCTCCAATCCGATTCGATGCACACCCCTGGTTGTCTCATACTGACAAATATTCCGAAAGTAAGGCGAAAATATAGCAAAACATGTCCTGTACCTGAAAATGACTTCTATAATCATGTCACACAATCCAATACTCAAAAGCCAGCTGTCGTTGAAATTGATAATATAACAGATCGGGATTGTATAAAATATAACAGATCGGGAACATGGGTAAAACTTTAGAAAACTCAAGATCGACGGAACGCACGCCAAATTATTTGTATAGTGAAAAGAATACCTGAAGCATTTTTTAACCCCTGCATTAGTATACTTTACATTAAAATGGATTCTATTCATGGCGATGTTTGACGGCGTATCAATTTATCATACTGTAGTTTCTACAAAAAGTCCTTTGGAGATAAAACCATCATACAGCTTTTGGGCGCCATTTATTGGTCCCAACTGTCGAAAAGGAAGAAAGTTGGTTGAATACGGAATTCAGAAAAGCGAACCACAAAGAAGATTTAGTATCAGCTGGTGCAACGTCCGACAACTCTTCTGTGGAGAAGCTAATGGATTTGTTTTGTGAAGGAAAAGTATGTCATGCTTGCACGTGTGCAATTAAAAACAAACGTATTAAATCTTGGACTATTTTTTTCCATTTCAGGCTCCAGTCATCCGTGAATTAGCAAGGAGTTTGAATTTAAGTGACAAAGGTTCCAAGTTGGACATTATCAACAATAAAAAGTGTCATGAACATAGAAGAGACGTTTTTGAAACTTTTTTCTAAGATGTGGCTCTGGAGGTTCAGATAAGAAATTGCGTTATTTCATTATTTATAGTACATTAATAGTATATCGGGCAGATGTATTAGGAAAAACGTTATTTCACATTCTTGCTATTGTCACAGAAAGCGGTCTCCTTTCCGGATGAGAAAGGTGCAGGTTCAACTCCTGCGAGATGAAATATCGCGAGGATGTGTCGCAATTATGGAATACATCCTTTCACATGCATGTATATGTAGTCACATATATCCACGGTTTTCAAGATTTGCATCTTAATTTCTTACTACCTGATTTCAACAGGCGGTTGGTTAGGAATGACTTGTCCCCATGGCATATGTTACGGGCTTAAATGGCTTCTGAGACACGAAGGACCCAGAGACCATGTCGATATGATCATGAGCCTTGCTTCAGTTCCAAATGTTATTGTTGTTGATATGGCAAACATGGTGGTTGCCCATGCCAGAAATAGAGGCTACAACGTTTTCCAGCCATTATAATTTTGAAAACGTTGAAAAGGCAAGTAACGGTGAATTTGCAATCGACTGGCCGTGGTTTCCAAATGGCATAGCTACAGAACTGATCAGCAGGGGCGCAAAATATAGCGGACCTTTGGTCCCAGAAAATTTTTTATGCTGGCAGAAAGAAAAAAGGGAAGGAAGAAAAAGGGGGAAAGAAAGAAAAGAGGGGAAAGAAACAAAAAAAGAAGGAAAGAAAAAGAATAGAAAGAAAGAGAGAGTAACAGCACCAATAAGTAGCCATTTTGTTCAGGGACAGACACTAGGTGTAGGGGGTGCCCCAAAAATAATTTCCAAAAGAACTTTGATAGCGGCAGGGTGTTAGCCAGAAGTAAAAAAAAAATCCCGCGTTTACCTGAAATTGGGAAATTTATTTTACCCTGAAGCCGGGCATTTCTTTGTGGGTCGGGAGCACGCAGTTGCCCCTCGCGATTTTTAAAATTTTTGTGTCGTTTAAATAGCATTTCCCGCATTTTGGGAGTAATTTTGAGCAAATGTAGTTATAAACATGTTTTTGAATAATGGCGTAATTTCTATAACTTTTTTGGCTGGCCCAAATTGGGAAATTGCGACCTCAAGGTAATTGGAAAAACCATGTTTAACGCGGAATTTTTTACTGTAGCTAACACCCTGAGCGGAATGTAGCCTCATATGCAGGCAACCTGGTTCTACCCCCTTTGGCCCTTTGTATCGTACCACTGCCCTGGTTCCAAAATTTGCTGTCTGTATCGTTCCCCTCCTTCCTTCATTTCGATTCCCAATTTTTATTTCTATAGGAAGTAGTAACAGTAACAGTGACAAATGACTTTATTAGCATGACTTTACATACAAGTATTGCTTATTAGTTGGTATAAATATTTACAAATGCAAAATGTTTTGTGGTAGTATGACATACTGTCAATATGTAGTAATACAAGAAATAGAAATAAAGTTATTGATGTAAAGGAAGACTTAGTTTACAGATGAGTACCCTATTTACAGTATATAATTGAAGAAGTTTTAGTTAAACAGCCTATTGACTGTCAGCATTCATGGCTTCAAGGCATTTAGATCTCTTCTCAAAACATAAAGAGATAAATTTCAATAATTTTATCTTGGTTTCATTCTCAGTTGATTTCATTATCTCAACTAGTAAACTGTGTTAATTTAGATCTGCTTCATTGGTGGGATCACATTCCAAGTAATTTAAAAAGTTTTCACGAAGACTGCTATAGGCTTCACAGGAAGTGATGTTTCGTTTCAATTTCTCCTGACTGGCAGACCTTGCATACTCGGTCTTCTCACAGAATAAACAAAAGATGGACATTTATTTTTCGCCCTTGAGACCCAATATTTCAAAGTGTCTGCCAGTGGTTATATTATATAAAAATCATAGTTAATAGAAAATATACATTGCTAGGAAGATTGGTAAACTTAGTTTCCTAACCAAACTTCAATTGATGTTGAAAACTTGTACCTGAAAGTACACAATTTGTTGATCATATTAAAATGTTACAGTTGAAGTCTGAGGTTTCCATTGGGCAATTGCTTCATTATACAGAACAAAATGTTCACTCACTGTGAAAGTGCACAAATTTCCTTAAAAGGCGAACAAAAACATAGAAGTTTATACAATACCTTTTGTCCAGCTTCCAAATAATGTTTGTTTTCAGACTATTAATTATGATCCTTTCCATGAAAAAAATTCTGTTGACTCTGCAGATTGCTTGGGTAGAGTTTCATGTTTTAATCAGCTGGTTGGTGGTATGCTGGCTGATCTGTTACCACTGGAAAATTCCCTCTCCATGAATCTCGCCTTCCCGAGGGGAGGCGGATTTCCCAGGATATTCGCCCCTGGTACGGAGTTTTTCCTAGGAAATTCACCCCAGGGGGTCGCGCAATCGAGACGGGGGTTTCCTGAGACACCAGGTTAACCAGGGTGGTTTTAAGTGTATGTATTCTGAAATGGTGACCATAGAAATTGACAAAATCCTTATGTTTTATAGTTTGGTAACCAACTGGCTATCAAAGGACAAATCGATAAAACGAGCTAGACTACTCATGCAGCGACGATGGATATTCATTCTGTGCTTCGATAAATACCACAGTGATATCTTCTGCGATGGAAACATCATCAGCCTCTACCATAACTGAAGCATCAGATCCTGGACAATTTACCACCACAACTGAAGCATCGAGATCATTCACCACCACAACTGAAGCATCTGATTCTGGACTATTCACCACCATAAGTGAAGCATCAGGCTCTCGTGTTATAACATCATCGCCTTCGAAGCCGATGTCATGTTCAACAAGAAATGATGCTACAATTCTCTCACAGCGTAATGCGTTTGTGCCAACCGATGAAACGGAACTATACCATGCAGACAGTGCGTTTCTTAAAAATTGCTGGTACACATGTGTCACTGTCGTTGTTTCCTGAACATTTCAGCATTAGTCAGTATACCAGTATATTGAATTCTACTAGTCTTACTTCCTTTCTTTTGGGACATATTTGGCTATCGACTGAAGAGGAAAGACTGCCAGAAGATGCAACTCCTCTCAATTACTCGTGGTTTTCTTCGATTGTCTATGCGACCAGGATAGGCATCAGTATGGCCAATGATCCCCAGACGGACCACGAACACTCAGTTTAGACGAACACGTACTTATGGAGAAGCCACTCGGTTCAAATCAACTTATTCCCACCTAAACTTGTCCGATTGAGTAACCCCAATCACGCATCACGTTTAGTATGTCAACTAGAAGCAATGTCCAATCGAAAGGCAGCTCTTTTCACGTATGGAAACAAATCATTTTTATTCCTTTCGCATGACAATGGCGTTTCGCTTGTGGACAGCCATAAAAACGAGGAATTTGGTGCCGCTGCAATTAAAGGCAACTTGGCCAAACATGAAGTCTCTCGAAACCACGCTTGGACTTTTTTGCAGAATCTTCACTTTGATCTCCGCGCACACTGGTTCACACACAATAACATTCAGGGGACTGTATTCTATCGATTTATTTCATTGGAAAGATTATCTATTTACAACGCGATTTTAGACTTCCTCGTCTCGCTACGATCTGATCACAACTGAATTTACATATTTGCCTCAATCAATGTTGGTATTAAATTACAATGAATCACTATGACGTATTTTAAGCAATACTATATACATATTTGTACATTAAATAGCAGAAGCAACTGCTGTGCGGAAAACTGGCGGCACTGCGCTGGGAACTTACAACACCCCACCCACCTTGATTCATAAAGGATTCATCTATGAATCAAGCATCGCACTTGTCTTCGCTTTGGAAATAACAGCAGCAGCTCGTCTTGGACGCTCATGCAAATCATGCAAGGAACCTTCTGACTCAGCTGAAGGGGAATTCCCTTCCTTCCCTTTCCCACCCGGTCGAGCTTGAATCTCTAACGGGTAAAGTTTCTGGACCGGTCTTTTCAGGTAAACTGGTCTACCCTTCCCTGCAACTCTTACTTTGGCTCCTCTAATTTCCTTGTCCTTTCCTATAATTAGTTCTTCTACTTTCGCTAATTTCCAATTACCTCGTTTCTCTCCCTCTCCATACACTGTCACTACATCTCCCTTTGTCGAAAACGTCTCACTCAGAGGTGTCACGTCTCCTTAAAAAACTCACTATTTTATATATTTATTAACCAAACTTAAGCGCTCACATCGAATTGTTACTCACCGCCGAACAACACATGTGCTAGCCCGCGCACAGGCTGTCAACCCTCGTGACCCCAAAACCAATTATCCAATAATAACATGAAGTTTTGTACACCCTCCCCCATATGAATCGTATTCGATTCATATGTCCTTGAAAACCACTAACTGTTCGAATATTTGTTAAAGTTAAATGTAACGTTCTATATCTACTTTAAGGTAAACAGTCATTCACGCTGTTGTTCATCGTTTAACTGTTCGCTAATCCGTTTTCTTGCTTCAACTGCCGCTCGTCGCTTCGGCTTGAACTTGGGTGCTTCTGGATTTAGTTCCGCAGGTTTCTTCTTATTCTCCCCGTCTTTTTCCTTGTAGAGGTCACAATTTAATTCTAGAGGATATAAATGTTGTACCGCGCGTTCCAATCGATCACGACCGCTTCTCAGTCTAGCTGCTCGAACTGCACCGTCTTTGCCGACAATCAGCGTTTCTACTATTCCCAAAGGCCATTTGTTTCGATTTCGTTCTGTCGACTTTACCAATACGACACCACCCACTGCAATGACGTGGCCTTGAGATTTGTGTTTCAACCGATGGCGTTCGCGGAGGGACCTCAGATACTCATTACTCCACCGTCTCCACATTTCGTCCTTGATTCTCCTTAAGAACTTTGCACGTTTCCTCAAATTCGGTTCTTCGTGATGATACGGCTTTAATTCTGGTAGGTAATTAGGATTCAGAAATAACATAGAATTTGGAGTAAGGGTGGGTAATTGTTCGTTCTCTTCCATATAAGACAGGGGTCGATTATTGATTGCGATTTCTATGTCCAGGAGCACTTCGCTAAGTTCGTCCCATGTAAGAACTCCACTTCCGACCGTTTTGTAGAATGCCGCTTTCATTACCCCGATCAACCTCTCGACTGGCCCCTCCACCAGGGGGGGCCTGCTAAGATTATACCGCCATGATATCGAATGGTTGCGGAGAAGATCGTTTAACTCTTCGTCTTTGCGTACGGATTTTAGCCACTTCGCCGCCGCAACGAACGTGGACCCATTATCTGAATAAATCAACGAAGGTCTCCCCCTTCTTGCGATCGTCCGTTTCAAGCTTTTGATGAATTCCTTCGTTTCGAGGCTAGGTAGCAAGTCTAACAACACCGCCCGAGTTAAACTGCACGAGTATAGAACTATGTACGACTTCCTCTCTTTCCCTTTACTACGATACTTCACTGGTCCGGCGAAGTCGACGCCAATGATGTCGAATGGAGTAGATTTCTCGGTTCGCGTTTTTGGTAAGAGACCAGGTGGTGGAGATTTTGCTGGGGCGGTCCTAAATTTCTTACATCCCCAACAATCGATGATGACCTTCTTCGCAAGTTTACGCAGACGGGGTATCCAGTATCTTTCCCGAACGTTCGCCATGACCAGACCTACGCCACCATGTAACGTGCAAACATGGGCTCTTTGAACAACTTTGGTCGTAAATAAGGTGCAATCTGGTAAATAGATCGGGTACTGCCCTTGGATTCTGCCACGACATTCCCAGACACCTTCTGCATTCAATTGTAAATTTAACTGTTCTTTATCTTCGAGAAACTTCTCCGAATTTACCGCTTGTTGTTGCGTTCGTTTGATCCAGAATATCTCCTGTTTCAGCACTTCATCTGTTGTCATCGCTCCACCGATCTTCTTGGAAGGATTTCGAGAATTATGGATGAATCGCGAGACCCATCCAAAAATTCTCATGGCCTTACGCAAGCCGAACTTGGCCAGGATGGTGTCAAGGTATTCACTTCCCTCAACCCCAACCATGGACAGTTCTCGTTGAACCTTCCTCTCTGCGTCACTAACCGCGTTTGCTTTTGTCACGATCTCAGGTGGCCACTTGCTCGGGTCTGCTAACCAGGGTGGACCATTCCACCACGACTTCGCTGTCGACACGCTACCACCACGACTCCCCAGGTCAGCCGCGTTGTCAAATGTAGGAACGTGGTGCCAGAGTACGTTTCGATGACTTCTCATCTTATTTACTCGGTTCGCCACGAATTGGCGGTACTCCCCGTTGTCGTTTAACCAATAGAGAGTTTGGGAACGCAACTGGAAGTGGCGACGGCGACCTGCATAATTTTACATAATTATCATAATTAAGTCACGAATATACGTTGTCTGGACGTTGGCGTTCTCCCGACAACGCCAGTTTGAGTGATTTGGCGTTGTGCTGACAACGTCTGGTTTTTGTGCCTTTTTCTGCATGATGGCCGAAACGAACAAGCAAAGGTAAGCTTTTTTACGTAAACGATATTCTGTTTAACCAACTTTCGGTAATTTAACTCAAGTTTTATGTTGTTTAGCAGTAAATCTCAAGTCATGATCAAAGCGATGAAGTGGACTGATCAACATGACCTCGAGTTGATTAAAGAAATTTTAACAGAACGTCCTTTTGATAATCCTAAAGGTTCGAGGCGAATAGGACTAGTTTGGGAAAGAATCGTCGACAATTTAAATTCAAGAGCAGATATAGTCTTCAACTTGAAGGACATCAGGGCTGTACGCGATCGCTATAACTTGTTAGCAAAAAAATACAAAAAGAAGGAGAGAGAGGAAATTAATGCTTCCGGCATTGGCACCGATGAGCCAAGTGAGCTTGAAGACGCCATTGAGGAAGCTGTTGCTCTTTTTGAGAGTCAAGAAGAGGACCGAGAAAAGGAAAAAACTGCTAAAGATGAGGACAGAAGTCAAGCAGAAGATGCCAGACTGGTCGCACTTGAAACTGCTCGAGAAACAGCAAAAAGAAAAGCATCAGGAAACGATTCGTTCAGAGCCAAGAAAACAGCTATTGTAGAATTTCTAAGAGATAAAGCGAATCAGGATATTGAGTATAGAAATAAAGAGCTTGAACATAAAACTAAAGAACTGGAAGTTCGAAAGCAAGAGCTAGCAATAAGGAGCAAGGAGCTTGAAGCACAAACTCAACAAAATCAAAACTTGTTGAACACTTTGCTTGAATTTGCAAAAAATCGTTAACTGTACAAGAACTGTAAGTACATTCCTTTATGTGTTTGACCATTCTTCATGTTTATTGAATACGGACAGGCTACTTCTGGCCTTTGAATTTTGTTTGGATATTTTACAGGACAAGTTGCATGCTATACTTTATTATATTAATATTTTTATAGTTGTATATGTAAATTGAAAATAAAAGTTATTGGTTCAGAAAATTTAATTTTGAATTACTTTTGATTCTGGTTGTATGGATCCAATTTATAAACAATAATTATATCTTTCACGCAAATGCAATGTTACTATACTGTTGTCTTGCAATATACTATGTTTCATAGAGTATTATCATTAATTACATGTGGACACTATGCATCAGCTCTCCAGAAGTAGTTTTCTAGTGTTGGTGGGTTGATTTCAAAATATTCTGATACAATGTTACCATACAAGCAAGCTAAACTATTTTGCAATATGGCAGATACAATGTAAATTTTCCCAATGGGACTTAACCGTATTTTAAGTTGTTGCTTAAAATCTACAAACTTAAAATACTTGGTTATTTCTCCAAATAACCATTCCACACTGACTCGTACACTGCTCATTGCCTTGTTATATTGCCTCATATCTTCTGTTAATGCGGCATTATTTCGGAATGGTTGCTGGAGGTGGACCCTCAATGGGTAGGCTGGGTCACCATATGGACATAATGGGGTGCCGTCTGGTGCAAATGCATGCTGCCTGAGGTCTTGCATCAAGCCTGACTCTCCAAGTATACGTGCATCATGCATTCTTCCCTCTAAAGCAAAGCAAAACAAAATATATAATTAAATGATTGAATTGAATGACTTTGTTCAAAATTTATATATTAACAATTTATAACAGAACACATCATTGTACTGATTATTGGCAATATAAATGTCAAAAAAGTGCTAACTCACCCCATGGTCCAGACAGGTTTGCTATCAGACCATTCGGAATACATATACTCTGAAATTTGATGGCATGTAGCCGCTTATGACCATTGTAAACAATTCTTTGATTAACACTGGGTCTACAAATTGGCCGAACTGTGCCATCGATGAAACCAAAGCATGTTAGAAGAGGGGAACCTTTGACATGAATTGCATTTGCATAGGATTCCAGATTCTCTGGAGATAGAAATGGTTGATTCCAGCTTTGTAATCTGAAACCATGGTTGTTGTAAATATGATTGATTGCATATTGAGTAATCTTGCATAGTTCAGGCACTGATCGGCCAAACATGGGAACCATATCACAGTATCGCACTGGGTAAGCAAATCTTTTGAGCAATATGCACAAAGCTTCCAATCCAGGACAGTCTGTAGCATGTGGGATGGAAATCATTTCTGGAAATTGAAGCGCTTCTTGCAACCTTGGAATGTCTTGTTTGTCAAACCGAAACTCAACTTTGCAAGTAAGTTCGTCAAGGTTTTCCCAGTCAAATGGATTATAATCCCGATAAGGGAAATTTGAGTGCCTATTTGGCGATATACATCAGTAATCTTGGAGAAGTAAAAGCTCCTCGTCTGATATTAAACCATCATCGTACGACAAAAGGAGAGTGTCAAAAATTTCATCCATTTTGAATTTACAAAAGTTTTAAATTTTACCGCCGAACAGTAGCCAAACAGAATTCTGGTGGCAACGGCGACGTTTCTGCAACGTATTCGTTCCCAGGCCCCTGCTCGGTCACAGACGTCGCCGTCGCCACTTCCCGTCGCGTTCCCAAACTCTCTAATGTAAGACTACGGTGCTGTCCAACCAGCAATGGATATATTCTGCAACATTGAACCCTTGTAGAGAATCTCTGACGTTCACGGCTAAATTAACGGCCATGTGGCCAGCTACAAGTTCCAATCTTGGGATAGTTAGGTTAGTTTTCGCCAACCGAGACTTCGCTGTAATTAACCTTTGCGTGACACCCGAATCTTGCCTTACCACCGCATAAACAGCTGCGCAGACACCTCGACCACTCGCATCTCCAAACGAGTGTAGCTCTACTTCTCTGATCGGCTCTTGGTACACAGGGAGGCTACGTGCGAAAGAGATGACACTCTGTAACGACTGTTCCCATTTTCCCCAACGTTTAGCTAAGGGCTCTGGTAGTGGCGCATCCCAACGAATCTTTGAATCACAAGTCTCACGATAAAGCAGCTTTCCTTCCAGTAACACTGGCGATACAACTCCGAGGGGATCATACACTTTAGCCAAATATGCGAGAACACCGCGCTTCGTCAACACAGCTGGTGTGGTTGGAAAGGTTACTTGCAGAGAATCGGTGTGTTTGTCCCATCCGAGACCTAGTAGCTTACAATCTTTACTTGTTGGGGTTCCACCGAGTTGTTCTTTGGCAAAGGTAAGTTCACTCTCAGATGCATCCGACTCGAGTTCCGAAATATTTGAGTTCCACTTATGTAATCGAAATCGTGCGTCATCAAAGATCTCAATGGCTTCGCGTTTTAACTCCTTGGCTTCGTCGGTAGTGGGAGCTCCAGATATAAGATCATCTACGTACAGACTCTTACGTATTTCGGGGACACTCGTGGGATACTGAGCTTCAAGAGTTTCTAGATGGTGTTGAATTACTCCAGTTAAGAGGAAAGGTGAAGGTGCAAGACCAAACACTACTCTCGTGAATCTAAGCACCTCAACTTCAGATGACTGTCGATCTTTAATCCAATGAAAACGTAACACGTCTCGTTCACCTTCTCGTACTCGAACTTGTAAAAATGCCTTCTGCAGATCCCCAGCTAGCGCCACTGGGTGAAACCGATTTCGAATAATCACACTCCACAGCAGGTTTTGTAACGGAGGTCCTGTCTGTAAACAATCATTGAGCGAGGGAGTATTTTCCCGTTCGCGCGCAGACGCGTCGTAGACAATTCGTGTTTTCGTCGTTTCTGCATTCTCTCCCACTACGGCACGATGTGGGAGGTAAAACTCTTTCCCAACAACTTCTTCCGGTGCTTTCTCTACGATTCCCTGCTCAATCTGGTCGCGAATTACTGCATCATACTCGTTCAGCATGTTTGTTCTCTTCAGCTTTCGTAGGAGCGAGTTTAGCCGTCCGAGGCTACCATCACGATTGCTCAACAAAGGTTGGTGACTGGGTCTCCATGGAAGAGCCGTTTCGTACCAGCCTTCGTCTGACCTTGTAAGCTGCTCCTTAAATTCGCCCAAAACGTTGCTGTCATGCCCGGTTGTATCTGCTAATCCGAGGACATCCAGAGAACAAAGGTTGTCGTAATCTGTTACTGAATTAACAGCTAGGCAGCCAAGTGATACTTCTTGCTCTGTTCCAGGGGACATAATGGACCAGCAACTGGTTGACCGCTACGCCCAACTCGCAAATTCTCACTAGTACGTATCTTAGCATAGTCATTGGCTCCGAGTATGAGGTGGATTGGCAACAGTTCTTTCTTGTCATAATCGTCATCCATACGAACTCCTCTCAAGTGATAATGCTTCTCTAGAACATCCTTGTAATGGGGATTCTCCAATGATAACAACTCTCTCTTCTCTATCTTAGTAACGTTCACGTCCAAATCAAAGTCACCAGATAACGATTGCATTCTCACCTCATATACTTGCATTGTTCTTGTAGTCACTCCAGTTAACATTGCGATCTGTCGAAGACCAACAGACTTTACTTTAGCTCGAGACAACTTGATGGCTGTAGAAAAGGCGTAGGAATGACTGGCACCACTGTCCAGTAATGCACGAAATTTATATCCACTTATTCGAACGACTACCACAGGGTGTATAACAGCACTTTGACCAATATGATTTGCTGTCATACCAGGCTCACGAGGCTTCGTATCCTTGTCACATATGGAGGTATGGTGTTTTCCTTGGCAAATTTGACATTTCCCCTTGCTCTTGCAGTCTGCAGCTCTGTGCTTCGCACCAGTGCAGTTAAAACACAAGTGTTTCTCTGCCAAGAGTTTCTTCCTGTCTTCAGGTTTCACAACTTTGTCACAGTTAATCGCTCGGTGCGTTTCATTGGAACAGTAGAGACAGCCCTTAATTCCACGATTGGGATTATCCTGGTTTGCAAAGAACGATTTACCCTTTTCCTTTCGGGACTTTCCACCTTGGTTATCTCTGACTGGGTTGTTTTTTGTCCACCTTTCAAGAGCATCGACAAACTGCGTGAAAGTCCACTCACTCCAATTTTCATTCATCATAGCAAGCTCACTCTTGATCACTTCCAATTTGTCAAACGTAAACCTGACAGCCGCATCAAGTTTACCCAAACTGTCCAATGTCTGCAAGGACTCGACGCTGTATAGCAATGTTTCATAGAAGGCGTGTATTTTGGGCACATCTCTCTCTCGAATGGTGGGCAATTCAAGAATGCTTCGTACATAAGCTCCAACCACTTCACTAGTTTGACCGTACTTCTTTTCCAGAAGGACCTTTGCTTTAGAGTATCCCTCCTCGTTGAAGGGAAGTCCGTCAATCAGCTTTCGTACCTTAACTACAACCAGCTCCTTTAAATAAGAAAATTTGGTGACTGCATCCACGCTTGACTTGTCGATTTGAGCCTCAAACTGACCCCAAAATCGCATCCAGTCTGTGGGGTCCCATCGAATTTTGAGATGACTAGTTTAGGAATTTTGGCACTGGCAGCAACAGGTGCACTGGATGGTTTAGTTGCAGTTTCTTGGACATCTTTAAGCTTTTGTTGATACTCCAGTTCTAATTCCCTCTTCTCTTGTGCAGCTTGCTGTTCTTGTTTCAGTTTTTGTTCAGTCAAAAGCTTTTCAAACTCGAGTTTCTTTTGCTGTTCTTGAAATGTAGTAGCTTCTTCTGCAGCTAACTGCATGTCCTTAAGCTCTTCTGTAATTTTTCTCACACACTGGTCAGCTTGAGCCAGCAAGGTTTCCGTTTCAGCAGCCCAGTCTTTGACTTGTTCTTCTGTATCACCTTTCATAAACATTCTTTCCTCAATATTCTCTTTTAAAGTGTTCACTATTGTCGAAATATTCGTAACGGATAAACGTTGTCTCTCGAGGGCCTCCTTGTCATGTTTGCCAATTACATCGTTTGTTTTGCCCATTCGAAATTTTAATGTCTTTATTTTACCACTTAGTTCTTCCACTGCCTTTTCCATAATAATTGTAAATAAATCGATTTAAAAAAGGACGACCAATTACTTAAAATCTCTCCAAATATGATATAAGAATCACAAGTTCAGAACGATGTTCTTACACGACGTATTGGGTATGCCTCGTCCCAGGCCTTAGGTCACATCACTCGCGCGGTCCCGATTCCAAATTTAATATATAAACACCAAATAAAGCACGACATCTCGTATATTTTCACGGAAAAAATAAGAAATAAAACAAGAATCCCCGATAATGCACGGTAACAAGGTAAATTCAGTCACTGTTAATGTATTTATCGTATCACTATTCACAACTCACTAGAATTTCGCCGTAGAAATGCACACCGTCCGCAAACTAGTTCACTCGATCTTGAAAGTTAACTCGCCAAATTTCGCCGTTTAATGTCTCGCAGTGCTCAGAAATCCTGGCGGGGTCGCCACTGTGTCGAAAACGTCTCACTCAGAGGTGTCACGTCTCCTTAAAAAACTCACAAACTCACTATTTTATATATTTATTAACCAAACTTAAGCGCTCACATCGAATTGTTACTCACCGCCGAACAGCACATGTGCTAGCCCGCGCACAGGCTGTCAACCCTCGTGACCCCAAAACCAATTATCCAATAATAACATGAAGTTTTCTACACCTTCTTCACACTCTTTCTCACATTTTGACTCTTACATTTATGAAATTCTCTCAACCCTGTCAGGTACTCACTTTGCCACCTCTTCCAGAAATGTTGTAATTTCAACATAATATACTTAAATCTTTCTCCACAGCTACGTTCCTCTCTAACTACTTCCTTCTGTGGTATGAAGCTAATAGCTCTACCATAAATTAGGTGTGACGGTGTCAAAACCTCTCCTTCACACTCTTCATACTCATCTGTTAATGGTCTAGCATTTAATGTACCCTCTATCTCTACAAGCACTGTGGTAAGTTCATCTACTGTCAATTTAGCATTACCTAGAACCTTTCTAAGACACCGTTTAACACTCCGAACCATTCTCTCAAAAAATCCTCCCCATCAAGGCGCTCTTTCTAAATTAAACCTCCATGTTACTCGTTTGGTTTGCAATTCCGCCTTAACCTTAGGTTGGTTAAACAACTGTCTAACTGCCCTTTCTGCTGCCTTAAACGTTTTGGCATTGTCAGATATATACTATAAGGCTTGGCATTCCTCTCCTAGCAGCAAATCTCCGTAGACAACACAAAAATGTCTCTGCAGATAAATCCCTAACTAGCTCCAAATGTATAGGTCTAGTCACACAACAAGAAAACAATGCTATATAAACCTTACTTGGACATTTTGCACAACACTTTACAAACGATGGACCTGCAAAATCTATTCCCACATTAGAAAAGGGTGCAGCTTCCCTAACTCGAAATCCTGGCAAATCTGCCGTCTGTGCTACACTATGTGCTTTTCCCTCTAATCTTTTACAGGTGACGCATCTACCTAAAATCCGCTTCACCATTTGTCTTCCTTTCACAACCCAATATTTTGTCCTTAATCTTCCTAAGGTTGCCCATACACCACAATGATGCACTTCACTGTGACATTTCTGGACAATCAATTCAGTCAGTCTGTGGTCCTTGGGTATAATGATTGGGTGTTTGGTATTGAACTCTAACTCAGAATTATGTAATCTACCTTTACATCTCAGAATGCCTTCCTCTTCCATCAAACCTAAACTATTACTCAGTTGGGTGTACTTTCTATCTACTTTCAACCCTGCCTGAGCCTCTTTAATCCATATATTCTCTGCCTCAACTAACTCATTCACTGTCAACTCTCCACTTCGCCTATCAATGCCCCTTGCTTTTGCTCGTACATTAAACCCAAACCTGAGTACCCAAGCTGTTACCCCCAAAAGTCGTTCTGCTGTCCCATAATCATTCAAGTCAATCACTCTACTTATACTAGCTGGCTCTGTCACCTTTACAACCATAACTACAGACTTTCGTTCCTCTTCCAAAACTGTCTTTGTCTTATCAGTAGCCTCAAATTTTGGCCACTCCTCTTTTGACTTAGCCAATCTGGCCCCACCCACCATAGCTTGTTATCTTTCAATTGTGAAGCAATTACACCTCTAGACCCAATGTCAGCAGGATTTTCAACCCCGGGACAATGCCCCCAATCCCCTTTGTTCGTTAGCTTCAAGATCTCATTTACTCGGTGGTGGACAAATTGTTTCCATTCACCCCTATTCATTATCCAGTAGAGTGCTGTCATGCTGTCAAGCCAAAACTTGGTACTATCTATCCTAACTTGGTTTTCAAGTGACGCTTTTACTGACTTCATAATCTGCGCTAACAGCCTCGCTGACATTAACTCTAACCTGGGAATACTAGTTGCTTTTAAGGGAGCTACTCTTGCCTTTGATGTCAATAAGCGGACATAAACCCCTACATTAGTACAATACACAAAATATACAACTGCACAGTATGCCTTCTTGCTCGCATCGCCAAATCCATGTAAGGTACACTCCAAAACATCTTCTGCACGATGTTGATATATACAGCGAGGAATGGTAATTTCCTTAGTTTCTATCAAATCCCTGTACCAACCCTCCCACTTATGCAGTAACTCCTCAGTGAAGTTTTCATCCCAATCAACTTTATCCTTACATACTTCTTGGAACAATATTTTGGCACATACAATCACTGGACTAATTATTCCGAGAGGATCAAATAAACTTGCTAAAACACTCAGTAGATTTCGCTTTGCAGGTGATAAGGTTTTTGCCCTTTCCCCCACTCTCGCAATCTCAAACTTAAACTCATCGCTCTTGTTATCCCATGCCTGTCCTAACACTTTATGGCATTTTGATTCACATCCTGTTACTCCAAGGGATAGTTTTGCATATGATTGACGATCCTCAACAATGTGTTTTATCTTACATTGGTCTGTCGCATGCACCTTAATTTTACTTTCCAATAGATTACTGTTAGTTGACCACTTTCTTAGCTTGAATCCCCCTTGTGCCATTCTACTCATAGTCTTATCATATAACTGAAATGCCTTATCTACCGTACTTTCCCCACTAACTAAATCGTCTACATAGAAACCTTCTAGCACCTTCTTCACAAACTCAGGATCGGTTTCAAGATACTTTAAGACATGATGCCTTAATGTTGCATTGAGTAAGAATGGAGATGCATTCAATCCAAATACTACTCTACAAAACCTATAAACAACTGTTTCCCACTTATCACTCTCAATATCATTTACCCACAAAAACCTCAAACAGTCTCGATCTGCCTCATCAACCTCCACATTCAAAAAAGCCTTTTCAATATCGCCTACTAAAGCAATCCTGTTTTCTCTAAACCGTATCAGTATGCTATATAGTAATGGATTGAGGGATGGCCCAACATGCAAGCAGTCATTAAGTGATGTTCCTGACTTACATTCCTTAGATGAAGCATAAACAACCCGAACCTTTGTGGTCACTGCATCCTTGCGAATGACCGCCTGGTGTGGTAACCTGAAGTTCAGGCCCTAATTTGAAATAGGGCCTGACACAAAACCTGTCTAGACCGTGAGACGCCCACATGTTATTTTTAGACACACATGCAATATGATTGACAAGTGTTGTAGATTTCGTTACAGAAAAAAATTATATTCTCATGAACATGTCCGCAGAGCATTTTGCTTTTTAATTAAACTTAAAAATTCAAGGTACTTTTATATAATTAAAGTGCCTATGCAACGAATTTTTCACCTCATTTTTTATTGTTTTTCTAAAAAGTACTGCTGGAGTGATGAAGAATGACGTTTACAGTTTCGTCATATCTCATCTCATTCTCAAGTTATCACACTTTCTATATTTTGAGTTGTGACGTCACAAGTATGAGTTGAGATAATGGCAATAACAAGAAAGTATGATATCTTGGTGAATATTTAATAAAATTCAATGAAACTTGGTACACTTAGTGGGTGTGCTCATATTATGTGTTACTACTTTGCAATGCAACAGTTGTTCTACCATAACCCTAACCCATATATATGACCCTTCTTCATACAGCGAAATTATTTGAACATAGGGTTTTTTTTAAGAACTTGTTTGGGGGGTGGGCATCTACAAAAAGGACCATACTATATTGAGTGTGGAGAGATAACAGATGGTTGTTGGTGACAAAAAGTTTGGTGTGGTATCGTATGGACCGTATGTACAACTGAAATGTGAGCATTTTCTGAAACAGATTTTTGGATATTCAGCATTACATTGTGCGTTGATAGACCGAATCTGATCAGTTAAGTGTACTTGCATGGTATGTTTATGTAAATACCACAACTGGGTCACCCAGGGGGTAGAAAGCTTGTTAAACTTAGTGGGCCCACGATCGCGAGGCGCTACCATGGGTGGCGCCCAGCACGAAAATTTTGAAAATTTTGAGTCTCTAGATCGTTGGAAATAGCATTTTCAGAGTCTTCTTTTTTGCTATTTGTGATTATAGAAATCAGAACTCTAGACATGGTATTTAAGTTCAAAAACTTTTATGACCACCCCCTTTCTCTATGTTAAAACTTTCTTGACCCTCCTATTTATAAGGGTAAAACTTCGTTTGTCCCCCCCCCTTCCCATTTCCCTACCCCCCCCTCCCCATAAATAATGACCACTCCCTAATCATGAGCTAAGTCGTTTAATGGCGATTTAATTGGGCAGAAGAAAATGTAATATAGCAAAACTTGGTAATCTGGCTTAAGTCGGTGTAATTCAAGTAGAGCACGCCGTAATTCTTGTCATGGCTAAGTCGTTTTAAGGTGTGCTAATTCGAGAAGAAGTTTCTGAAGGCATGGCAAAGACGTGTTAATGCGGTAAATGTCTGTGCAAGTCGGGTTAAGCATGCAGTACTCGTGAATAACTCGTTGGAAGGTGGCTACGTCTGACAGAAGTTAGTCAGGGCATAGCCATACCGCGATAAAGCGGTCTAAGCCGGTGCAATTGGGTTAAGCATGCCGTAATCGTGGCTAAGTCATAAGAATTCGATCTACGTCTGGTCGAAGTTAGTCAAGACATGCCAATAGCTTAGTAAGACAGCCCAAGTGGGTGTAAGTTGGGGTCATCGTGCCGTAGTTATAGTTAAGTCGTTCCAAGTTCGGGCACACTGGGTAGAATTTGTCAATGCATAGCAAGGCCGTCAAAATCCGGTTTACGTCGGGGTAAGTCGAATTGAACATGCCGTAATCATGGCTAAGTCGTTTTAAGGCGGGCTAATTCTAGTGGATGTTTGGCAAGCTATAGAAAACCGTGATCATTCGGCCCAAGTCGGTGAAATTCGGATAAAGCATCTAAGCATACAGTAAGCACGGCAAAGTCGTTGTAGGGCGGCTTGAGTATGGTAGAAGTTTCGGAATGCATGGCAATACTGTGGTTGTGCGGTATAAGTCTGTGTAACTCGGGTTAAGCATGATATAATTAAGGCTAAGTCGTTGTACGTTGTAGGTTGAGTCAAGTATATGTTTGACAAAGCATGGGAAAATCATGGTAATCCGTCGTAAGTCGGCGTACTTGGGGTCGAGCATGGCATATAATCCACATCTTGGCTATGTCGTTGTACATGTCACGCGGTTTAATACAAGTTTGGGAAGGCATGGCAAAGCTGTGATAATGCGGCATAAGCCTGTGCAAGTCGTGCTAAGCATGCCCTGATCGTGTTTAAATCGTTGAAGCGCGGTATAAATAAATAAGGTCAACGGTTGGCAAGGCGAGGCAAAACAGCGGCAATTCGGCCCATGTAAGTGTAAGCATGTACGCCGTAATCATTGCTAAGTCGTTATTTGGTTGGTTAAGTCAGGTAGAAAAAGTTTTTGGAAGGCGTGGACAAACCGCGGTAATGCGACATATGTCTGTAGTAAGGCTGATTTCCATATGACGTCGACAGTCGGCGAGTTCAATTATCGGTGATTACTCATGTGTAAAATTCTTTGTATATCTGAAATCATTTTCTCTTACAGTGTCTACCGACAATGCGCCGCTGGCTGGTTGGCGTAGAAAAAGTCTGAAAAGGCATGGCAAATTTATAGTTATACACATGGCCGTCCCGAGCGGTATCTGTGGAGTGCGGATGGAGGGGGGCGATGAATTCTAAAATTCGGGGCCCCTTCCATTTGGACACCCCCTCTAACAAATTTTTCGTAGTGCAAAAATTTTTGTGAGGTCAACGTTTTGTTTCCGAAAACAAAACGTCCTTTACTTTCTCACACTTTCACCACCTCAATTTTGGAGAAAATTCCTTAATTTAATATTGAACACGTTTCGCAATTCCAACATCCCAGGGCATCGTCGCCGCAAGTTGGGCCCCATTTTTACTATAACTCCTTACACCCCAATATATCCGGTCATTGTTATTCCGTCAAACTCTGTGAACGTCGGGTGAACCACGCCGTAATCATGGCGAAGTTGTTTAATGGCGATTTAATTGGGCAGAAGAAAATGTAATATATCAAAACTTGGTAAACCGGCCTAAGTCGGTGTAATTCAGGTAGAGCAGGCCGTAATTCTTGTCATGGCTAAGCCGTTTTAAGGTGTGCTAATTCGAGTAGAAGTTTCTGAAGGCATGGCAAAGACGTGTTAATGTGGCAAATGTCTGTTCAAGTCGGGTTAAACATGCAGTACTCGTGGACAGAGCCGTCCTCAGGAAATTCTTCAGGGGGGGGGGGTGTAAAGTCATTTCAACCGACTGGTTCCGAAAAATTTTTTTCCGCAAAAATATTTTTTTGGCGACATCCCCCCCCCCATACAAAAATTTTCAGGACATCACAAATTTCCTACATTTTTCTACATTATTCCAAATTTTTTACATTTTTCAAAAAGAATTTTCTAAAATACCGACCCCGATCTTGCCCTTTGCGCCAAAAATATTTAACCCAAACAGCAGTTCCGACTGAATAGCAGTCCTGGGGGGTACGGGGGGTGCCACATCCTCCCACACCCCCCGTAGCTCCGGGCCTGCTCGTGGATTAATTACTCGTTGGAAGGTGGCTAAGTCTGACAGAAGTTAGTCAGGGCATAGCCATACCGTGATAAAGCGGTCTAAGCCTGTGCAATTGGGTGAAACATGCCGTAATCGTGGCTATGTCATAAGAATTCGATCTACTTCTGGTCGAAGTTAGTCAAGACATGGCAATAGCTTAATAAGACGGCCCAAGTCGGTGTAAGTTGGGTTCAGCGTGCCGTAGTTATGGTTAAGTCGTTCCAAGTTCGGGCACACCGGGTAGAATTTGTCAATGCATAGCAAGGCCGTCAAAATCCGGTTTACGTCGATGTCAGTCGAATTCAACATGCCGTAATCATGGCTAAGTCGTTTTAAGGCGGGCTAATTCAAGTGGATGTTTGGCAAGCTATAGAAAACCGTTATCAATTCGGCCCAAGTCGGTGTAATTCGGATAAAGCATCTAAGCATGCAGTAAGCACGGCAAAGTCGTTTAGGGCCACTTGAGTATGGTAGAAGTTTCGGAATGCATGGCAATACTGTGGTATTGCGGTATAAGACTGTGTAACTCGGGTTAAGCATGAATTAAAAGGCTAAATCGTAGTAAGGTACAGGTTGAGTCAAGTATATGTTTGACAAAGCATGGCAAAATCATGGTAATCCGTCGTAAGTCGGCGTACTCGGAGTCGAACATGGCATATAATCCACATCTTGGCTATGTCGTTGTACATGTCACGTGGTTTAATACAAGTTTGGGAAGGCATGCCAATGATACCGTGATAATGCGGCATAAGCCTGTGCAAGTCGTGCTAAGCATGCCCTGATCCTGTTGAAGTCGTTGAGGAGCGGTATAAATAAATAAGGTCAACGGTTGGCAAGGCGAGGCAAAACAGCGGCAATGCGGCCCATGTCGGTGTAAGCATGTACGCCGTAATCATTGCTAAATCGTTCTTTGGTTGGTTAAGTCAGGTAGAAGAAGTTTTTGGAAGGCATGCACTAGCTGCGGTAATGCGACATATGTCTGTGGTAAGGCTGATTTCCATATGACGTCGACAGTCGGCGAGTTCAATTATCGGTGTTTTCTCACGAATAAAATCCTTTGTGTATCTGAAATCATTTTCTCTTTCAGTGTCCACCGACAATGGGCCGCTGGCTGGTCGGCGTAGAAAACATTTGAGAAGACATGACAAAACTATAGCTATGCGCACGGCCGTCCCGAGCGGTATCTGTGTGTGGGAGGGGGGGGGGGGGGGCAGGTAGGGGACGGTGAATTTTAAATTCCGGGGGCCCTTCCATTTGAGGACCCTTGCAACAAATTTGTCGAGAAAGCAAAAATTTTATTGAGGTCAACGTTTTATTTCCAAAAACAAAACTTTGTTTAACTTTTTAGACTATTTCGACCTCAATTTTGCAGAAAGTTCCTTAATATTTAACACGTTCCGCAATTCCAACATTCCAGGGCCCCCTTGCCTCAAGATGGGCCCCCTTTTTTGCTATAACTTCCCACAACCCAATATATCCGGCTATTGTTATGCAGTCAAACACTGTGTACGTCGTGTGAAGTTCGCCGTAATCTTGGCTAAGTCGCTTAAAGGCGATTTAATTCGGCAGAAGAAAATGTGATATAGCAAGACGTGGTAGTCCTGACTAAGTCGATGTAATTCAGGTAGAGCATGCCGTAATTCTTGTCATGGCTAGGTCGTTTTAAGGTGTGCTAATTCGAGTAGAAGTTTCGGAAGGCATGGCAAATACGTGTTAATGCGATACATGTCTGTGCAATACGGGTAAAGCAAGGAGTACTTGTGGCTAACTCGTTGAAAGGTGGCTAAGTTTGACAAAAGTTAGTAAAGGCATAACCATACCGTGACAAAGCGGTCTAAGCCTGTGCAATTGGGCGAATCGTGCCGTAATTATGGCTAAGTCATTAGAATTCAATCTACGTCTGGCCGAAGTTAATCAAGATATGACAATAGCATAGTAAGACGGCCCAAGTGGGTGTAAGTTGGTTCAGCATGCCGTAGTCACGGTTAAGTCGTTCCAAGTTCGGTCACGTCAGGTAGAAATTCGTCAATGCATGGCAAGGTCGTCTAAATCCGGTTTACGTCGGTGTAAGTCGAACTGAACATGCCGTAATCATGGCTAAGTCGTTTTAAGGTGGATTAATTCTAGTGTATGTTTGGTAAGCTATAGAAAACCGTGGTAATTGGGCCGAGTCAGTGTAATGCGGATAAAGCATCTAAGCATGCAGTAAGGACGGCAAAGTCGTTGTATACGTAGGGCGGGTTGAGTATGGTAGAAGTTTCGGAATGCATGGCAAAACTGTGGTATTGCGGTATAAATCTGCGTAACTCGGGTTAAGCATAACAGAATTAAGGCTAAGACGTTGTAAGGTAGGTTGAGTCAAGTATACGTTGACAAAGCATGGGAAAATCATGGTAATCCGTCGTAAGTCGGCGTACTTGGGGTCGAGCATGGCATATAATCCACATCTTGGCTATGTCGTTGTACATGTCACGCGGTTTAATACAAGTTTGGGAAGGCATGGCAAAGCTGTGATAATGCGGCATAAGCCTGTGCAAGTCGTGCTAAGCATGCTCTGATCGTGTTTAAGTTGTTGAAGGGCGGTATAAATAAATCAGGTTAACGGTTGGCAAGGCGAGGCAAAACAGCGGCAATGCGACCCATGTCGGTGTAGGCATGCATGCCGTTAGCATTGCTAAGTCGTTATTTGGACTGCAGGGCCCGCGGAGCGTATTAGAGAGTGGGGGGGCTAAATCATCAATAAAACCCCCAAGGAAAATGTTCAATTTTCTATTACCTTAAACGCTATTTCCTGCATTTTTGGAGGAACTTTAGCAAAAAATCTCCAAGACCATCGTCATAAAAAGTAACAAAATTTAGACCTTTTACAAACTTAAGTAAAAATAGTAAAAATAAAGTAAAAATAAAGGCAGTTTCAACTCCATTGCGGAAACTTTGCAAAAACCATATGAATATAAATAATAATTTCGTTTCGGAGCACGTGGCTGCGTTGAAGGGAACTTCATGTAAGGTACACATAATGGGGTGCTTAGCCTTTATTCATTTTAATTAGATACGAAAGTTAAAAATGCCTAGAAAAGGTTTAATTAATTTAGAAAGTTTCATTTAGATTTCTATTTTAATAATTTTGGCTGTCAAAAAAAGTGGGGGGGCTAAAGCCCCCCCCCCCAGCCCCCCGTCTCCGCGGTCCCTGTTGGTTGGTTAAGTCAGCGGGTTTCAGAAAGCATGGAAAAGCCGCGGTAATACGGCATATGTTTGTGGTACGTAAAGCTGATTTATATATGACGTTGACAGTCGGCGAGTTCAATTATCGATGATTAGTCATGAGTAAAATCCTTTGTGTATCTGAAATCATTTTCTCTTTCAGGGACTACTGACAATTAATGGGCCGCTGGCTGGTCGACGTAGAAAAAGTTTGGGAAGGCATGACAAATCTATAGTTATACGCAGGGCCGTCCCGAGCGGTATCTGTAAGGAGGGCGGGTGGGCGGAGCTGCTGTAAGTCGGACTCGGCATTCCGTAATCATGGCTAAGTCGTTACATGGCTAAGTCGTTACATATATTTTCGTAATATATTTTCGGAGATATTTTGAGTGCTGAATATAAGCAATTTGATTTTCATAAAGAATGAAAGGAGTAGATTTGACATGTAAAACAAACGCAAAACTCAACAGAGTACTATGATTATAGGCAAGGTCATGTGACGAATATGTTCGTAACGTATGTTCTTAGCTACCTAATGCAATTACCACCACAGTAACACAGACCGGTGCATGTCAAATTTGCCTTCAAACACTTACACCTGCCGATACATGAAACTTTACATCCACAACTGATGAGTTCGTAACAAGTGTTCTTGGCTTGTGAGAGGGATGTCCAATATGGAGACCAGTGTCGACCTTGGAGCTGCCATCCCCAGGTGGATGGGCTTGGAAGCACTTGCTGGCGTAGAAGGGATTGGCCCCATACATGTCCTCCTTGTAGAACTGCTCGCCGGACATGCTGATCAAGTGCTGCTCGCGATCTCTTTGAGAAAAGCTGTTGCCTTGCTTTATTTACTTTCGCTAGACTGCTTGTACGGTCATATAGAAGCACAACAAACCTTTCTAGCACAGCCATGGATTCTTCAGTGATGTCTTCAGGTGATGTCTTTAGAGCACTCAGGACTGGTGTCAGCTCAGGAACCCCCCCCCCCCCACACACACACACATCCCACGCAGTCTTCTTACCACGTCCTCGAAAGCACGACACTGTATCACAGCCAGTGAGCGCATGGAATAATGGCATTACCGTGGATTTAGCTGGACCTAAGGATGCTGCGACAGCATGTACTGGGATGTTGTGGACATTCTTTCCGGATCCGTGTGTTATCCACATCTCATCGATGGCAAGGGTGTTGACGATTGAAGCAGCAAGAACTACCACGTCAGTGTCGTTACTTCGTATCTTTATCCTTCGATATCCACACGAAGATGCATCATTAGCATGAACTATAAGGCGGGTATCAGCCTCTTCGTGGTTGCATGGCGAGAGAACACCTAGATCTGTTCTGTTCGAAGAACACAGCACGTTTTCACCATGAGTGGAGTAGATCTCTTTACCCTCAGGAACTGCTAGTGAAACAACCTAAAATGCAGTCAAAACATGAATATGTAAGGTATAATATTACAAATCATCTCAATGTATCGCTTTAACGTACCTTTAACAAATCATTTTAACGTACCTTTGTCGCAAGAAGCTTGAACAGTTCTTCCTTGTTTTCATCTACTTTTAAGAAGCTTTTCCAGTCGCGCAGGATTCCAGTAGATTCTAGCACCTTTCGCCGTTGCCCAGTACCTCTCTTTTCTTGAAGAGATTTCTTCAGTGAATCATCCTGGTAGACATCCCACACAAGATCCACTCGTCTAGCCGTCTCAAGGTGCTTCAAGACATAAGGCGCAAATACCGTCGTTGCATATTCAATAATTGTGCGAGCCGTCCGTGGCTGCAACATTTGTACAATCACCGCACCATCCAGAATGACGACGTCTGCTTCTGGCTGCGTGGGACTCTGTGGTGTAGTGTTCGGCAAGCACTTTATCAGGTCTGCTTTCACTCCTCCTCGAAGTTGACCAAGTTCTGAGAGGGATGGCGGCCATGGCTGATTCTCATATGTGCAAAATTCCTCCAAATTTCCATCGCGGTTTTGGCACGCTATGTAAAGCCGCGAGAACAAAGAACAATCCTCCCTCAAGACGTGGACTTTGGCTTTGTCCTTTGATACTGCCTTCTTGGTCGGAGTGTTTAATGTATGGAGGTTGTTTTTCTTCAGAGTGTCGGTGACCGGCTTGCTGCCATCAATAAATCGTCCTTCAACAAACGACTTGAACTGCTCTTCTCCAATCTTGCTCGCGTTCCTGATAGTTTTAATAACTTCATCGCCCATGATGTCCCTTGTGTGAATTGCCATTAAGTTTTCACTTTCATCTTGAAAGGGATTACCCATTTCTTCAAAGCACGACACAGTGTTGACGACGTCACGGGAGAACGCAGATTGCACACCTGGCTTCTGTTCATGATGGTCTCGTTGCTCTGCTGAAGATGTGCCTCCCTCGAATTCTTGTATCATTCTGGACATCTCCGGGCCGGCCACCATCCATCTTCTTAGAACTGCTGGATGTTCGGTGAGACCAACGGCACCTTCTTCGCCTTTCACCACAGCATTCACTTGCTCGTGGGCATGATCTAATGCTATGGAAGAAAATACCCTGGTGGTCTTGTGTAGAACAAATGCGCCATCACAGAAGTGGTTGTAAACGTCTAGATGCTTCGAAGGAAGGAGACACATATCCCGATAGTGAACTGAGAGCCACCTGGAATAGTTGGGATGATCCATGACAAACATCCAGGGCAGAATCTTCCTGATGGTATCGACATAAAGTGGGAAATCTGCCTCTCTGAAAGCCCTCACGAGGCGTAGGCACATTAGCTCGAGGTCAAGGACGGACGTCCAATAATGGAAATGCGGTGACTTGGTAGCTCTTTCTTCTTTCCAATCAGCAAATGCAGGGATATTGCAGTGCTCGTTTTCCTCTAGTAGGGACGCCTTGCATTGGTTGTATGCCTTATTCAGTAGGATGAGCAGACTTGCCGCTGTCACCTGGTGTGCTCGTCGTGTGCGTGTTACATGACTCGCAGACAAGAATGATTCTGCAATCCCCTGTGTTGCGACCCCTGCATTACGCATGACCTCAGGCCATCCACTACCACTCAGCCATTTTCCAAGCATCTTGAAAGAAGCCATCTCGATATGGAGTCCTCCCATCATGACCACAAATTTATCTTCGCCGAATTCAGGAATTTTCCACTGTATCTGCTTGGCTAAGGCAAACAAGGGCTGATCGAGAGCGATTACTGGAGCTTAATTGCGAAGGGCTAACATGTTCCACAGCAACCTTAATAACTCGCATACTATGTGCTATCATAGCCATAGAATGTGCATTATCAAGGAACATCGGCAATAGGGTAATGATCGCTGGCTGATAATGTGAGAGCGCAGACCACGAAGCTTTGTACGCAGCCCATGACACAAAATCTTTGGGGTCAAGCTTGTCCTTGGAGATGAGCTGCTGGGTACTTGTTAGCCAATCATTCTCTTCGTCTATCAGGCTAGAGTCAGGAGGGGCGGGAGGTGCCAGGGACTGATCTGGAACACGTGGAGCATACAAGTCACCGTTGGGCTGTGTCATAGGAGCTATTTCAGTGTAACTGGATGGGAGATGAGCTATTGTCTTGGTGGTAGTTGACGCAGTGGGGTCAAACGTGTCCGTAGCTCTTGGGGTTCCTTGGTTGTTAGTGGTGGGGTGTTGGACAAGGGAAATGGCCGTCCCGTGGAACGATGTCTGTGAGGTGGTCGAACTGGTGTTGTGGTCAATTTTGGCCACAGCAGATGTGGTGAATAACCCTTTTCTTAACTGGGATGGACATACTACTCCTTCACGCTCATACCTACAATTAAGAACAATAGTAACCAATGATTATAATACAAAAAAAATAAAAAATTTGTAGTTAAATATGGTTAACTCTCAAATACTCGATTCTAATTGGTCAACTGTCGCCCTAACTGTAGTTAACTTTAACTACTTTTTATACAATCGGCCCCTGGTCCTTAGCTGTTGGGGGCATAACAAGTGGTACAAGTGATATAGTCTAAATTTATCTTGTCTTTTGTATCTTGTGTGAAAATCAGACTTTAATGATTGCAGATATATGTTGATATTGTATTAAATCAGTCACTTGTCGTGCCAGCAACAGCTACCGACCAAATGGAAACCGGGCCTTAGCTGAGACATCGATAATTTCTGATGTTATAATAAAAACATTAGTTAATTCAATTTGGGTACATTTGGATTGAATAGATAAAAAGATATAATATCTGTTTGTGCACGATACAGTCTATAATGTCAGCATAATGCTGGACTTTGGTGATCCAAGAAGATATAGAAACAATACAGAAAAGAATAAGATTTTTAAAATGGTGTTTTTACCTATCAAGCACACTGTTGGTGACTGTTTCTGTAGATACGGTGAGCAGGCGATCATATGATATACACATGCTAAGACTGTAAAAGGCATCGATGAGAGACCGGTCTCTTGTACATCCGTGTATTTTCAAGGCTATATAAATAGGTAATGGGCACTCTCGTGATCTGATATGGTGCATACTGGCAGTGGCATCTGGCCGATTACGAGACCTCGAGACACTGTTAAACACAATTAACTGGGCGATGGAAATACATGACTGGCTATCTGATGGGTCAGACTTTGTAGAGGGACCTTTTATCAGCATGCCAATTAACGTAAGCAAAGAAGCTGGGATAGAGTGCTTCTGACATTCTTCTTGAAATGTTCCATTAAATGAGTTCTTCACATTAAGTATGTCCTTCCTCACGATATGTGCGGCCCTCGCAAGGCAACATGCATCTGAATCCTTGTTTTTCACTTCTGTCAGAATACCTCCTATTACATGCCTCGATACCAAATTGGTTTCACGACCTTCCGCGTGTGCAGTTAGATCAGGAAATGCCTTTAGCACTCTTTCTTTCAATCGTGTGGAGTTCACTTTTCCACAGTCTGCCTCTGGTTCCTTGAGCTTATATTGATAGAATCGGACTAACTCTGATAATGTAAGCACAGCTGTTTCTACTTCCAGGATGTCCTCGATGTATGCTATTAGTTCGGCGAACGCAAGTTCTTCAACGTCTACGGGTAACTCATCACTAGATTTTGAGCTTTCTTTCCTTATCGGCCTTGTCTTGTTGTAAAGGCTTGCCAAACAATTGGCGTGATATTTTGCCTCAATAGCAATCAGATCACCAGTAGAGAGTTTAGCAATTAGACTACTATCATTCAAAAGCCTGGCACAGTCTCGGACTCTACGGTCTACCTCTAAGGTCGAAGCACAATGTAAGTTATCAGGGCTATCTTGCTTGTCACAGAAAAAACATTGAAGGTTTTGAGCAACCACAGGACCGGTCAAAATCGATGATCGCCTGGACTTCACAGGACTTGAGCTGAAAGGTTCTTCATCGGGTCTATCTTCGTCTTTGTCAGTTTTAGCTAATTTTCTTTTCTTTGCACGTTCAAGCTTCGTATTATTATATAGATCTCTGCATGACTTATGCCAAGATGCATTGTGAATCGTCAAGGTCTGTTCTATCCCCGGGCTTTCTATGTCAATTTGGGTCACTTCTATTCCTAATTCAGCCTTATATCCTAAAGCACTGCGAATAAACGAAAAATAGCCAGCCCCAGCATCTTTACGTTTAGATCTTGCCGGGCATTGAAGAGCTTCTTTAGTGGATCTCTGACATATAATACACAGTTTCCAGTCCATGTTCAACTGAAAATATAATTGAAATCTTCAAGTTAGCTTAGTAATTCGGCTTAATTTACTGATTTTAAAATACGAAATTTGGGCTTAAATCACATTTACATTTATATTATGTATATATATGCTTCCAATTACATACAGGAAACAATTATATCCACAAGAATCCCTTAAAACAATATTTATTTGTTATTTTTATACCATTTTTAACATACCTTGAACAGCTGTAAGTATCTATGAAGGCGGCCATCTTGAAAACGATGGGGGACTGGGGGCCAGTGCAACTAAAAACTGTTAAACTACTCATAAAATCAGCCACTCATAAAGTCATGAAAATGCGACAATTGTCACACCTATTATTACATGTATAATAGTTTTTGTTGTGTTTATTTCTTTCCAACAATATTTTTAATATATTTCAGGCAAATATTAAAATAGTGTTTATTGACAAAACTGTAGGATCTGCAAATTCAACTAGACCGAGATAGATAAACTAAAAACTTTTAATGTCAACACTACATTGTAACATAATTGCGGCCTCAAAATAGTTAAAATAGCTTGTAAAATGAAAAATAAAAATTTCACCACAGGTACCCAAATCTCAATGAGAATATACTTAAAAAGTGGTCAAATGAATACAATATCACCCCAAAGGTACCATCAACACATATTAACTGATAGTGGATTCTTAAGGAAAATTTTGATGTCAACAAAAGTCTATACACTTCTGTCATAGGCTGTTTTAAGTTTCGGCCTCGTTTCCATGCTGGCAGATTCCTGACATGCGCAGTTCACGGCCCCATGGCTCAACTTGGCTTGGCCCTATATCAGGAAATATTCCCCATAGGCATATTTGTAATCTGTAAAAGTTTCACGCTTTTATCACCAATTTGAACAATTCGGCATTTTTTTAGTCGATAACAGCTGGATTATTTTGTAATAGCCAGAAATATTCCGAACAGTAAAAGAACCTTTAATGAATACCTACTACCTATAACAGCTATAAGAATAGCTTTCTTCTTGAAGCGATTACTAAATATGAAGTAGAAACTGAGATAAAAAATTCAAATTCTAAACAGAGTTCAGGATATGATGGTATAAGTCTACAAGTCATCAAGAACATTTCTAATGAAATTTCCGAACCACTCAGTTCACACATATTTAACCTAACTTTTCTCAGTGGAACTATTCTTGATAACCTAAAAGTGGCTCTAGTTACCCCAATTTTCAAAGCAAATGAAAATAATGAATTTAAAATTATAGACCCATATCTGTTCTCACCTGTTTCTCAAAATTATTAGAAAAACTCATGTTCAAGAGATTAATTAAATTTATAGAAAAAAATAAAATTCTAACCAAACATCAATATGGTTTTAGAGCGAATAGATCCACTGAACTTGCAATCATTGAACTTACTGACAGAATTACTAAAGCCATTGACAATGGAGAATACACTATAGGTATATTCCTTGACTTGTCAAAAGCCTTTGACACCATTAATCACAAGATTCTGGTTCAGATATAGCACACTATGGTATACGGGGAATAACACAACTATGGTTTCAAGATTATTTAACAAATAGAAAACAAATTGTTAAATACAATCAAGTCAGGTCAAAAGAGATGGTGTACGGAACTTCGTCGGTACAATAACTCCCAATCTCACTTTTGGTTATTTCACTATTTATTTCATAAAAAGAATCATAAATATAAAGAGAAACTAAAATATAATGTCTCTTTGTCTCGAAAAACCTGCTCTTTGTTTTTGTTGTGTTTCCACTATGTGTTTCCACTATGTGCTAAATATTTCGGAATACTAACTTCCGCTCACGCTCCCCTAAAATTATAATAACATAACTAATTTTACGTGCATAATGTTAGCAACAATCTCAACAATGTCCGGGATTTCTTGGGCCTAATGTTTCTCAATGTTAATATATTTGCATAGTCTTTCAACACTAATCAGCATCAGCAGTAAGACGTATCCGTTCACGAGCTGTCTCCGCCGCCTTTCGAGTACTTCTCGGTCGCAGTTGTTGCACAGGTAAAGATGATAATGTAGCATTTGCCTTCGTCTCGCTTCGATAACTTTTACCTCAAAGGTCCCGCGAAATCGATCCCTGTCGTCTCGAATGGTCTGCCGCATTCTGTGCGAAATCTAGGTAAATCTGCTGTCGCTGTCGCCCCATACGGTTTGGCTCTAAATACTTTACATCGATTGCAACGGTTGATCACTTTCTTCACTTTCGATCTCAATCTAGGTATCCATCACTTTTCTCTGACTGCAGACATCGTATTTGCGACGCCAAGGTGATTGACTTGCTGATGAGCATGACGAATTAATTTCTCTGCAAAGTGTCCGTTTGGGATGAAGACAGGTTCATAACCATGGATCCTCCCCTTGCACTTGAGGATGCCTATGTCTTCGTCTTTTGCTAGTTTCCATCCTGGTGTCTTAAGATCGGAATCAACGTCCACTTGCACTCTTCGGACCCAACAATCCTCTGCGCTGGCGATCTCTTCGGTGGTAAGTGGACCACTCTTCTTCTTCGTCTTTCGGTTCTTGGCCAGGGCATTGTGCTTGAACCTTCGAACCCATGCCGTCACTCGCAGGGTCTTCCAGTAGGAGCACTTCTGAAATAGGGCATCCCACTCGTCCGGCTCTCGCTTCACGGTAAACAGTGCCTCTGCTACTGTAGGCTTGAATTCTTCGCTTACTGTTTTTGTTGTCACAAGCTTCGGTTGTGTTGGCCACTCTCTCTCGTCAAGTAACCAGTCTGGTCCTGAGAACCAGTTTCCCCTTTCCATCTTGTCTAAGCTTGCTCCTCGACTTCCGAGATCTGCTAAATTCTTATCTGTTGGACAGTGTTTCCAGATTATTCCGGTCTCGTGAGTGATTTCTGCGATCTTTCTCACACGGTTGCTCACAAACACTTTCCATGAATTCCCTGGATTGCAGATCCAGTACAGCGCCACCATACTGTCCATCCAAACAGTAACAGATGTAATGGGCCACAGCTTCAGGGCAGAAAGAATGTTCTTTACCATATTTGTGGCCATATGCCCACTGACCAACTCCAACCTCGCTATTGTGGTGTTGCGCTTCGATATTCTACTCTTCGACGTCAGTAGCCCCTTGATCACTCCGCTTGAATGTTCAATCACTGCTATTGTCGCGGCGGAACATGCAACATTACTAGCATCAGCGAACACATGTAGATGTACTTTATTAATCTTGCGTATGTCTTTTGCTATGCTTCTTGGTACTCTCACGTTTCTCAATTGGCTAGTCCACCGTACCCAATCTTTCTTCACTACGTCACTGACTTCCGCGTTCCAGCCAACATTCTCGTCACAAGCTTCCCGATAAATACGCTTCCCCTCTACCATGGGTGGAGACATTATCCCTAGTGGATCGTACACGCCACTGAGTTTACCTAGAATAGTACGCTTTGTCACAGGACTACCCTCCGTTGAACTTGCTTCCCGATAAATACGCTTCCCCTCTACCATGGGTGGAGACATTATCCCTAGTGGATCGTACACGCCACTGAGTTTACCTAGAATAGTACGCTTTGTCACAGGACTACCCTCCGTTGAACTTGCATCAACCTTGATCTCAAGCGAGTCTTCACGCTTGTCCCAGATGTGTCCAAGTATCTTGCTTGGATTGGGTTCAGTGTCTAACTCCAGTACGTTTGATTCCCATTTCTGAATGGGGAATTGTGCCGATTCAAAGATGTGGGTTGCTTCTTCTTTGAACTTGCTCAGTTCTTCGATGTCGTCTGAGATCTGCATGAGGTTATCCACGTATGTGTTCTGTCGTAGCGCTTGAACGGTGGTCTCTAGGGTATCGGGTTGGTGGTCAAGGTGGTAGTTTATTGTAGCTCCTAGCATGAACGGACTGGCTTCTGCACCAAAGGGAATTCGGGCAAATCTGAAGTGTTGTTCATGGTTGTTAATGTTGAAAAGAAACCTAAATGCATCTCTGTCCTCCTCCTTCAGGCCCACCTGAAGGAATCCTTTTGAATATCTGCCAGTACAAGGTGTGGACTCATTCTCGCTCTTATTAAAATGTCCCACATCAACGGTTGTAAAGACGGTCCGGTGTGCATACACTCATTCACACTGTTCGCTAATGGATTGGGTCTCGCACTTGCGTCAAATACCATTCCCACCTTCGAACTGCTAGACTGTTCTCGGACGATGGACTTATGAGGCATGTAGAAAACACGAGGTCCTGTTGGCTGGGAAGGTGCTGGCTCAATGATCTCTTTCTCTAGCTGGTCTTTCACAATCTACTCATAAGCCTCTCGAAGCCTTTTATCATGACTCAGTTTCCGTTCTATGGTCTTCAACCGTTTCTTGCTGGGTTCCTCGTTATTGTTGACTAGCTCTGCTCCCGGTATCCACGGTACGCTCACTTCATATCTCCCGTCGTTTCGCGTTGTGATGCTTTCTTGAAACTCTCGATAGACATCAAGCTGGTCACCTTCGCCCCGATCCTCGATCCCTAGCACGTCTAGGGAGTATAGGCCTCATACTCGTTTGTTTCTCTGGTGAACATACATGTTCCATCTGCATACTCCTTGCCACCATGCACAACCCAACCAAAGGTTGTGCCCTCTACGATTGGGTCATCTGGTTCACCTTTGATAATACTCTCCGTCTTTATCTGGCAGTAGACTGCGT